CCTGTAAACTGACTTCTCTCATGTTATATTGCTAATATGAGAATAAAATATTTATTTATTCCCTATTGTAGAAAAATGACTCAATTCTAAATCTTGACTTGGATTTACTCGAACGTTTCTTAGAGGAACAAATCTTGACGGAAAACGTTCCATACTGGTTGATGTGTCATAAGGTTCACAGCGGCCAACTGCAGCGGATAGAAATGGTTCATACTCTTAGGACTGCAACCACACGAGTATCGAAACCTAGGATATGCTGGTTATGAAGGTGACCAGGAATGTCCCACACTAACCGCAAGCTGTCGCAGCCCGCTGAAGTGGCTGACAAGATGTTGGCGAGGTCCACTCGATGGGTTCAAACGAACCTATCGTGATTCGATGCTGGGGCAGAAAAGTGCGGACAATTGGCTAGCAGTTGTAACGTTCGGTAAGATTATCAGTCTTTGACGTAAGTTGACGCAAGAATACATGAAACACATAGTTCTGTGATCACTTAAGGATATTAAATGACAAACGACTTGCATGTGTCCACTCATGGACCTTTCATCATCATTCTTTATCAAACTTCGAGAGGTTTAACTATGGAAACATCGTCTTCGAGCATTGTTTTTGTCCAGGCAAAATATGCAATGATTAAACGCAAGTCCTGGCTTTTCGCTTATGTTAAGACAACATTTCCACTTTGCCATTTTGTCAGTGTGCGCAAAATTAATCTGCCGCCATCATTTATCCTTAATATACCACATATACGTCTTCTAGGGACTAAACCACCTGTCCTTAGGAAACATGAATCCCTGCATACTGTTGTTATCATGATTATTAGCGTCACTATCAACTGAAAACACTTGAAGAATTCAGCCAGTATTATATCTTTGGGAATGAACTTATTGACCCGCTTCCTCTTTTTCTCTGTTTGACCCCTTCACACATCCATTAACCACGATCTTAAGTCCTCTCGGAAAACATTGTGCCTATTAATGAACATAAAAATTCATCGTGTAACCTAGCGTGCATTATTTGTATGTGATGTAGGGCCTTCTTCATTTCAGCCCGGAGATTTCCACCACCTGGGATGAGGAAGGGATAATAAACACCATTGTGAGAGACTTTGTCACTAAATGTGATAACTATATCAGCATAAATAATGTGCACATATGAATTCAGGAACAGAAATTATTATAACTATTGAGATTACGCTGTATGCGTTTAATGTTAGGATTGCACTAAGGACTGATGAGATGTAATGTTCTGCAGAAGCGTTGAACCTTAGACTATTTATTTAATCACCAGAAGTCACCGCAATCGAATTGTTAGGGCAAGTAGTGTTGAGAGGTCGCACATTTCGCAATGGTCCCACTTGTTTAATCAATGTTTACCCCTAGCAAGTGACGTAGATGGTTTTGTAGGGGTGTAGAGGAGACAGGATTGCCCCCAAGAAGGAGGTGTGGATAACGGCACACAAACGAGAGATACTGACTTGCAACAAAAACACAAATAATCGCATCGAACTTTCGCACGGATTGTTGAAACAGCATCTGCGAGAGAGTGATTCAGTCGTGCCTGTTGATGGGACAGTCCGGAAGCACTTGCAGCCATAAGTCGCAGCTAACGATATCGAGCTCCAAGTGAAATGGTGTCTTTTCTCAGCCTAATCGCTGCATTCGCAGCCCGTTCGGTTGTCGACGGGTTTATTCTGCCCTGGAACCCGTCAGAGACCTTTGAAATAACGAAGGGGAGTTGATTATAGATGATAGGGTTGAGTGAGAACTTAGTTACATGAACATGTACATACCCAACATTCCCTCTTAGGAGGATCCATTGTTGGCGCTTAATACAATTACACTTAAGTTACTTAAATTCGCCGACACGCTGCATTCTCCAAGGTAAATACTTTCTTTCTTACCCAGTGAGTTGCCGCTCAGGTATTCCAGCTATGAGGGTAGCGAAACGTGCCAAAAGCGTGCAGCGAATTACCGAGAATCAGCCGGTGGGTATACCACGAAAATAGTTCAGTAACCAACATACCGTGAATACTGTGGGGTATATGTTTCAATTCTTCAGAATCTGTCGAAATTATGATCAAATGCATATGCTTCGTAGTTTACATATCTAAGTAGCTTCCATTCTTCAGTGTTTTCCTGTCTGGGATAGATTTATTTAGCAACTAGGCGATCGTAGGGCAAGAATTAAGTTTAAAGGAAAACAGGAAATAAATTAGTAATTGGGCAAGTGAAGAAAAAGAAATTCGTGTACACGCAGCTGTAATAATCATGAACATGGTGATTCTCTACCTAAAATTGGTTATTGTAGACAGTGGCGACTAAAACAGAAGCCCAAAAGTCAACCATTAGCCCACCATCATACATAACAAGAGCGCAGCAAATGATTTTGTGAACGCATTTATTTAGCACTCAGTGATTTCTTCAGACGGCCACAATAATGCACACTCATCTTCATCCGCCAGAATATAAGTTCGCCAGTAGCAATATAATTTCCTACAAAGTTTTGCTTACCTTACGTACGGCCTGCATGTTACTTATTTTGCATCGAGACTCAGGCGTACCCACTGAGACTACTAATAGGACTCTCTAAACTAATCCGAGCAGTTCTGTAGAAAAATGTGACAGCTAATTCGTACCAGAAGATATGGAACCTTGAACCATCTAAGAACTTGAGGCAAAGCTTCATATGTGTGCTTGTTCACTGGAATCTAGCTACTGGACTAAAATGGCTAAAATTTCAGCAAATATGACAGCCCACATTGAAGCAGTGATATTGTTTTCATGCAGTAGGTCAAGTGGATGGGTGTAGGGATCGGAAGTTTCCTTTTACTTGAGGAGCATGGACTTCTGGATGCCAGTGTGCGAGACATTTATGATGATGTCAATCGGTGTGGAGATATTTCTTTCTAGTGAGCAGATGGTGCTGATACAGTAGAAGAGGTTGCACCCAGTCAACTCCTCTGACTTCTTACTTGATGGAAGAAATGGGACTTAGCCCTCACGTTTGCTTGGTTCTTTAATGTACGAGAACGGCCTTTTTCGTCGGGTTTGACTGTTAAAGGCCAGTTGCTTCTGCACCGGAATTCATATTTGGCAGAACGACTATTATCTATGGATCAACTGCACAGAAGCTGTCAAGTATTGCGGATGTGGTTCGGGCTACCCCACAGAAGTCACTTAACCTCCTGTTGGATTTCCAAGAACGGTGCTAGTACACGTTTGCAGCCTGAGTCACCACCAGTTTTATCGTCCGCTCACCTTGTTTTGCGCACCCACTTTTACATGTACAAACCCCATCTTCGCATGCAAATGACAAATAGGTCACAATTATTCAACGCGATTAACACTTTGAAAGGGGGATTTTGGTTAGACACCTTACAACCTAGCCGTTAGCCACAACAACCACAGAGTTCCTTCGTATATGAATCTCATGGAGGTTATACGAATTCCGTAGGCAGAGCTGCTATTGTTCAAAATAGGTTAAAAGTGGGCACATATGTGCTGGCAGATATCGCTTTGGTTTGATGAGAGTGCAGTAAGGTTTACCGTGACCTACGAGCACCAAAAAAGGGTGCGACAGCAACAGGCAAAGCAGATGAAAAACGGCGCGGGATTTGAAAAGTCACGATAAATTGTGTAGAATAGCATCCGATTTATGAAAACAAAACTGGTTTCAATAGTAATGTATTGTTAGTGCACATGGTATCTGGACAAGTTTTTGAATAGGTGTAAATGAGGTACACGAAGAAGTAGTAAGAGGTAAAGAGAAGTGCCTAGGAATGCTGTGCTTATGAGGTTTGTGCTTTTAGAGGTATAACGGAGGAAAACTCACGATCGGAGTGTTTTACACCAATCTAGATGGATGTTATTTGATTTTAAACCTGCCTTTAAAAGAACCTGTTTACTGAATCATTACTACCGTATCAGGGAAGGATTGTCATCCCACAGAATGTTTGAGGCAACAACGAATAATTCACTTCAGGTGAAGGGATATTGTTATTATGTTCTACTGAGACTTTTAAAACCGCTCGGTCCCCAAGGTTTGGCTTCAGATCGGTGGTAAAGCTAAGCGTCATTTGATATTTATCACTTTTATCTGCGTCAATGTATCAAAGTTTGTCAGTAATGCTTAGTACCGTGATTTGTCACCTATGGAGTAATCATAAAACAGTCTAATGAAAGATACGTGTTGATATGTGGCAAACCTTTGGGTTACCAGCCCATATATGCAGAAATTTGTTCCATCCTGCGTGGTGCAGTTTCATTTTCACTAGTCGGTGGTAGTTTTCCTACTTGCACTTTCCAGTTGTAATTGTGATAGACAAGTCTATTAATATACTCTGACCTCCTCTCTTAAGGAGACAGTGAAGGTGAGTGTAGGAGATGTGCCTCTAAATATTCACTTGGTAGTCATTAAGAATGCTGGAGAGCATTTCGAAAGTTCTCTTGTTGAGCCAGTATATGACTCTAATTCTTATATAATGTTCCTAACACCACTGCTTCTTTTATGATCCCAAACACTTCTTATCATCTGCGTCAGTGTCAAAGCAGATGATGCGAAGTAGAAGGTGGGATGATACAGTGGCATCAAATCAGCCGGTACGTAACTAGCAGAAAGAAGGTGGAATATTTTGTGTCAGGACAGTTAAACAAAAGTTAAAGGTCAGTGTCGAGGCCCATGTGAAATATGTCAACGAATACGAAAGTGAGCACCTACTACACTCCCCACCATTAAAAGCAACGAATATGAGAGGGGAAAGTGAGTTTTATTGAAGCAGCTAGTACGAAAACGTTAGGGACTGAATTTTTCTTGAGTTCCGGGAAAGTGATACTAGGAATGGGTCGTGGGAATTGTCTACTTTCTTCTTATAGAACACTTACTTGAGCTAAAGATCCTGGGTTAATACAGCATAATGTTTTTAAACGTGGTGGTAGACAAATAATTTGACCTATTCCTGCTTGTAGCCCGAAACGTTTGAGAGTTAGTCTTCTTGTTTCAATGCATAACATTTTCGCTCTACGGTTTAGCTGCCAATTTCAAGAGCAAAATACGTCATAAGTTCTCTGGGGGAGTGGATTTTTTCGATATTTGTGATTAGTAAACCTTTCTAATGCATTAAAACTTAGATAATGTTACACAATCAAAATGGCCAGAGCTTTTATGATCGTCAGCCTTTCCAACCAGAGAAGCAGTTCGGGTACCCTGGTGTTAATGATCCTAGACAGTACGCTTTTGATGGATCCAACTCGAACGTGATCGATGCTCAGGCACAGGCTCATCCTCATAACAGTTTTCAGTCACCACCAAACAACTTCCCGGGGATCCAGAACCAACCGTTTCAAACACAACCTCAGCCCATAAATTATCCCGGCTTACCTGTGCAGAACATAAACCAGCCTCCACTTCCACCAATGCCTCATACTCCTAGTCATCAGGATTTCAGTGCTAGGCCCCAACAACCTCTGTCTCCCCCGATGCCGCCAATGCCTCCAGGACATGGTGGTATTCGACCGGCTGGTTTCCCACCAGCCCAGCCTGGAGGACGCTTCCCAATGGCAAACAATACGGGTAGTCAGCCGCATCCGATGCAGCCTCAACAGCCTTACCAAAATGGTCCAGTTTCCAGACAACCACAATTCTCCCAAAATGTAAACGCTGACGGCCTACCTAGTGCGGTCGAGGTATGAGTCAACTCTTTTCCTATATTTCCATACATCCCTTGAGTGTAATTTGTATCTGTTCACATTTAGTGGGTTTTTTCACTAGACTGTAACATTCATTGGTAAGCTGTTTTTGCATGCATATCCGCATTTATTTTCGGGGTAGTTTTCTCTGACATATTAATCCCGTTTTCACTGCGCGTCATTAGTGTTCCTGTTAGTAGTTTACGTTTGTATTCTTCAAAGTTTGGTTGAACTGAAGAGCATATAGTTGTTTATCAGAAAACCTTGGCACGGTACATATACGATGATGTTCACTTGTCATAGTGTCAATGCTTATTCATGTCTATAGCTGTCTGTAGGGGGACATTTTGCAATAACCAACTGCTCATGTTGTAATGTATCTGGTGGTAAAAATCAGAGCATAATCGTTTCAAGTTGTTCTTATTCTTGATACCTAACTTCGACCAAAGTTTGTCCTGGGTTCTCCTAATCAGCACACATGGACTGAATTCAAGGTGGAGAAAAATAGATGTGAATTAACTGCATGTTTTGCCGGAATATGAATATCCAAGTCTTTAAAAAAGAACTTCTGGTTGGCTCTCAATATGATGACAACTTTCCCCTTAGTTAACTTTACTGTTTGTTAATTTCAATAAGGAAAAAAACCAGTGCGTGATGATCAACGAGGATCGAGTGTGATTAATAGATTTCATGTCTGTTTGGCATAGAGTCCTCTTGCTGTCAGATTGCCAGGGGGCTGAAGGCAAAAACCACCTTTCCACTTTGTTTTTCTGTATTAATTTATGGATGAAACAAAGGCAAAGTTGTTTTTCATTCCCTCGCAACTGCTGACGGTAAAATATCAGTCGAATACCCGATTTTTCTAAGCCAATTTGCAACTTATTTTGAATTTCTTTAGGAATTGTCTTAGTTTGCATGATGATAGCATGTAGTAGTGTATGCTTCGTGCTCGGGGATAATAAGAAGGAGAAAATGTAAAGTAATCAATTAAAGCAACTCAGCCAACAAGTTGAATCCTGAAGGTGCGTGGTAATACTCAGACACTTCAACATTTTACCGGTTCTTGTCCTGGGTTAGATATTGATGGTGATATTTCGTTTTCGAGCTTTTTGGAGATGGCTGTTAATCAGCTTGATAAACAGATTGACATAAAATTTTCTGCAGGCCAGGCAATATCCTTCCAATAAGTATAGGCAAATCAGTCGTCAACAACGGGCTTGAACTTTATCTTGAGAAATGCAAGGTGATACACGTAAAACATGGTGCATCTCATGTTTATAGTCTCAATGGCATGAAACTTGAAGCGTCACTGACGGAGGATTTTGGCGTTTTAGTCCCTCAAGACTTAAAATCCTATTCCAACTGTGAAAGAAACGCATTTCATGGGAACTTGGCGTTAGTAACTCAGACGAATTTTCGAACAATTCGATCGTGGATGCTTCCGCCAAATTTTCAACAGCTTCATACGACCTCACCTGGAGTTCAGACCCATCGTCTTCCCTCCTCATCTCCAGAAGAACAAACTAAGCTTAGAACGCATCCAGGGGCGTTCGACAAAATCTGTTCAAGGACTTAGGTTGAAAACACGAAGAACGACTGGTTGCGCTGGATCTGAATCCTCTGGAATACAGAAGGCTAAGAGGTGGCTTGATAATGACTTACAACATTATGAACACGCCTGTCGACGCACTCCGTCACTTATTAAATCTTAACTGCAGCGCTAATCTTAGAAGACATGCACAGAAACTAAGCCTGGAGCATAGCAGGCTGGATGTTAGGCACAACTTCTATTCCCTAAGAGTTGTTAAACCCTGGAACTCTCTTCCTGAAGATATGATCCAGGCTACTTCGTCTGAATCCTTTAGACGCCGACTGGATACCCACTTGATGTGTAACCAGGATCTGCCCAGAACTAAGTGAATTTTCACATTTTGATCGCCTCTTTCTTTATTTGTACACAGGTTAACAACCACAAGGAGTAGTGATCCACGGATCGTAGGCGCGGAAGCCAGTTAAACGAAAGCTTCTTCTATTCCATCAACAACCATTTGAACCATTTGAAATAGATTTTCTTAATCCGGATACCAGCACGAATTATTTTAGCGTTACAGAAAGATAAGCTTGCTTTGAATGTATGGGGAAATCCTAAAACCTATAATAGTTGAATGTTGGATATTTACGATAAAAACGCTTTCAGTACCAATCATTATTCAGAACATGTTAGAATAACATTTTGTCCTTGATCTCTACTAAAGTGTAGAACGAAACAGAGGTAATAATGTTATTCGAATCCTTTTTTATCTAGGTGGTTACATAAGCCTTTGGATCATAATTTTCTGTGACAGTTTCTTTGAACAGAAAAGCAAGTTAAAATCTCACGTCACTAATGTCTAACTATCAACTTGTGTCTTAAAAGTTAAAATATGTTGCCTACTTATTATAGTGTTGGTGTGAATTTATTCAGCCTGTATAGGCTTTTCGGTATAGATACTTTTGATCTGAAAAAGAGTAGTGGAATAGGTCAAAATCTATCAATGTTGGTACCTCTGACCGCATTCACTCTCCTGTTATCTTGTCTCAAGAGTCGCTTTTGTTTTATTTTCTCTATTTTTGGTTTTGTCTAGCTGTGTTGCTACAGTAGGTAACCTATTTGTTTGACAAAATCTTTATAAGTTCTACATTGTGACAGTCATATGTTCCTCTTGCTTTTGACTTGTGTTATATTGAGATTTACTCATTTTATGTCTTTGTATATCTGGATTTTATTTAGGTTATTGAAAGTAACCGCACTCAATGCACTGGGCCCTTCTACACGGGACAACGAGGTGTTATGCCTCCTTTAGTCACGACTGAATTCATCTCACGAGATCAAGGTACATGTGCACCTTGTTTTATTAGATCTTCGCTGTACTCCGTACCAACCACCTCTGATCTACTAAAAACTGTCGGTGTTCCCTTTTCGCTTACAATATCTCCTTTTGCAGTGCAACATGCAGAGGATATGAACATTGTGATAAGTGATATGGGTCCTCAGGTGAGTTGTCTTACTATAAAACAATTTTTATTACAGTATTTGTTATTTTTTCTTAATATTTGCAGTAAGGGCTCTGCATGGTATGAATCCTGTCACTGAATACTATCGACACTTTCACATACGTTACTGATTTCTGTTTGCTGTGTAGGGCAGTACACTTACAAGGTGTACAAGTTTTTGGAATATAACTCGCAAAGCAGCATAATATGGAGAGGATGGATTCGGATTGGACAAGAATAAATAGCAGCTAAGATTTCATATTGTGGAGCAGAAATTTGTGTTATTTGTGCAGATTTACTGTCGATCAGTATTGATGGCTGTAAGACAAATGAGTAAAACTTCTATTGACTGGTTAGTGATGTTTGTGGTTCCCTTGGAAATTCAACGAACAGGATATTTAGTGTACAATAATACTAACGATTTTAGACAAAATCAGCTTAGAACTATGCATACAAATGCATCAGTTCAAGTTGCCACACCTCACAGTAGTATACAAGGAACAAGACAGACAATGATATGAAGGCAGACAAAATTGTGTGAGAGAATGAGCAATTTCAGAGTAATGGTTAGTTCGAATATTCAAGCTTTAAAAGACGTCAGGAAGTGAATACATGTGTGCCATTGTAACCGATTTTCAGCCATGTCGCGAAGAGTCCTCAAACATTAATTTCTTTTATCTCGGGGACCCCAATCAGGCACCTGATATATCCCCACACGGTTCAGGCAAACAATAAGAGATTTCGTCGACTGGAGCCACGTCTTGGTTTGGTCACCCTGAACACTTCCAACCTAATCTAACTTCCCCGTATCATGGTATGTCGAGGTAGGCGGTGACTTGTCATGCGCAACACATGTATCCATGCCACCTCAGCCGATGAAGGTCCACAACTTCATCAATCAACTTACCTTTCTTGCCTAGTACCTTCCGCCTAACCTCAACATTGCTCACATGGTAATTTCACCACACGCAAGCAATGCTACGAAGACACCTATGGTCAAAACCCTGTAACCGCATCATATCTTCTACTTTTGACGGTGATGTCTCTTAGCGGTACAACAGGACAAAATGGACTGCAGCGCCAGTACATAACTATTCAACTTGTTTTAAGATTATGCTGGTGCGGGCTCATAACAATCTTGCAAAATGCTTTTACCTCTGTACAGACTGTTCTTACGGAATATGTATCTGGTAAACTGATACACGACATCGAAATAAGTGCCTCATTGATTTCACTACGATTGTTGTCTTTCTTCTGAAGATTAATGGGTTTAGGTTCTCTATCAGTGGTATTACCTCTAGTGGTGTTAACTTAACCGTTGTCAAGATGTAAAATAGCCAATAATATTTTATTGTCCTGGCCACATTCATGACTATGGGTTTCATAAAGCGGCACAAATGTTGTGTCGTCACTAAGATGTAATATCTAAAAGGATTTTCCTATGATTTTTGGCTCTGTAGTACAATATCTGTTTATTAATTTACTAATATTCGTCTTAAAAATCTGTTTCATTCCATGAGATATTGTTATTTCATCAATCTTATATATAATTGATCATATTCACCTTTTCTCATTTCTGTAGGGTCCAGTTCGGTGTATACGTTGTAAAGCCTACATGAATCCTTTTATGAATTTTATCGATGGAGGTCGAAGGTTCCAATGCCCTCTTTGTAATGGTTTTACTGAAGTTTCAGCTGAATATTTTGCTCATTTGGATCATACTGGACGTCGTGTAGATGCAGGTCAGAGACCTGAACTTTGTTTAGGAAGCTATGAACTGATAGCAACTGCAGAATATTGCAAAAATAGTCAACTGCCTTTACCTCCAGCTATTATATTTCTGCTTGATGTCTCTCAGTCAGCTATACGTTCAGGTTTGGTGCAACTGTTTTGTTCTCAGTTCATAGAACGAATTTTACCAGCTCTACCCATGTGAGTCAAATTATTAATTTCAATATATCCTGTTGAAAAGTGTGTTATCATTTTTTTTCATCAAAGCATACACTTTGATTGTGATTTCATAGTGACAAATGCGCTGTGTGATGTTGTTTATCGAAAGAATGAGTTCATTTGTAGTACTGGCACTTGGTTAAGAAATGAAATATTGAAAGAAATGCTACGTTATCGCTTAACATTTGTTACACTACTTCTAATAGATATGCAAACTGATTTATGAGTATCAGCCTTGATAGTTTTAAAGCTATGGCTCATTGGTATATACATTTGACTTTCAACCAAGTTTGAATCTCATCCCATCTATTATTACCTGGGCTGTCACATAGTACCATTAGACCTAGGTGGATGTGGTTACTTTTAGGCAAGTTTTGTGGTGGAGAGTTAAGACAGTTGATGCTGTTGTAAACTTTCATCGATTGAGATGGCTGGGTCATGTATTATGCATGCTTACCCAACATCTGCCTTGTCGCACAGTGCTGACTGAAGTAGGTTCAGGCTGGAAAAAGGGTAGGGGCCGCAAGACTAAAACATGGCATCAATGTATGAAGCTCTTGACTATTGGTTTGAGCGATGTGGGGCGATGCAGACTGGGTGGTTGCAGTCCACGGGATAAGAGTAACCAGTGGTTGGAGACTCTAGGTGATCACATGGTTGAGCACGGATGTCAGTGGTGCAGATGTATACACACATTATCCTCATCTTAACGCTTTACCGAATCTCACCATTCTCTCATTCTTCCTTCCTCTCTTTTAGTACCTTATATTTTTTTCGACTGAATTTTCTTTCTTTATCTTCCATTTTATTGCCTTGTAATTTGATGTGTTGACATGAGGTGTGGCAGCTTAGACTGTTACGCAGTAATGCCTTGCTCTATGTTGGTCCCGACCGATAGCTGCTACCTTGACGTGGTGGTCGGGCTTGCATATCACAATGACCCAACGAGCTATGCTGGTGGAACGCTTGTTCCCTCGAGGTCCTACCATACCAGAAAGGTCTGTTGGGTAGTGGTTAGACGAAAAGCAGTTACCGTCATAGTGTAAATTGCTATACTATGATGGGGGTCTGAGGGCGAAGTCGTACTGCTGCTAGCTGGATGGGGTGTGACAGCAGTAAGGTGTTTCCCTTGGATGACCAGCAGTGCCAAGCTGATGCTGCCTTCTCAGTGGAAGGGGGGGTTAGAAAAGGTCGGCCCCAAAAATAACACACTCCACCACGCCCCACGGTCTGCCGGGCCGGCGGTGTTGGTTCACTTGTCGTTTCCTTTCGCTCATCCGGCCCCAAAAATACAAAAATTCAAAATAATCATACTCAAAAGGCTGGGTGTGACAGGCCTCAAGCAGATGTCCGATGGGCTCTGCGGTCACACAAATCTCTTTCAGGTACCTTAAGAAGAAATAGCCTTCCACGGTGTGGGCAGCCGGGAAGTGTCAACCGCCCTCACAACTCTGTCAGCACCCAAGTTTCTTCTGACTGCTATCCTCCTCCTCCATCATTACCTTCTAATCTTCCTTCACGTCTCTTAATTAATGATGCTGCATCATCTTCAATTTCTCCTACCTCTGCAGCCTTCGACAACGATCTGAGTCCACAGAACAGTGTCCCTGGTCTCCTTAAACCACGCTCCAAATTACATATTGGAGCCTTCAATGTCCGCACCCTCCGTCAAATTGGCCAACAGGCTTCGTTGGCAAAGACTCTAGCAACTCGAGGCATGGATGTGTGCTGTGTTTGTGAGACACGCATACAGGACCCAAGTGTGGTTATTCACCTGACCTCTCCTGACCAATCTGGTGAATCTGCAAAATTCACCCTTCGAGTTTCTGGAGATTCGATAGCTAGCTCTCGTGGTCTTGCAGGTGTAGGTATAGCATTAAGCACCAGGGCAGAAAACTCACTACTAGACTGGATCCCAGTTGATAGTCGCCTCTGCGCTATGAGGCTGAACGGCACAGTGAGAACTAAAAGGAATAGTGAGACTCGCCGTTGTCTCTTTGTAATCTCTGCTTACGCACCCACTGACTGTAGTTCGGATGAAGTGAAGGACGAGTTCTACCATAAACTGTCTAACCTCCTCTCGAAAGCCAAACGTTCGGACGTAGTGGTTGTTGCAGGTGACCTCAACGCACAGGTGGGTAGACTGAGTGAGGCAGAAAGGCACTTAGGTGGCACTTTCGGAATCCCAGCTGAACGTACAGATAACGGTGATCGCCTATTACAACTATGCTCAGATAACCGCCTATTTTTAGCCAGCACAAATTTCAGACATAAAGAAAGGCACTGTCTGACCTGGCGTCCACCGAGCTCGACTCAGCGATGGACACAGATAGACCACATTGCTATTAGTCATCGCTGGAGAGGATCGGTGGAAGACTGCCGCTCCTTCTGGAGTACGTGTTTGGACAGCGATCATGCGTTGGTCCGAGCACGTATATGCCTGCGTCTCAATGGACGTAGAAAAAATTTGGCAACAAAACCACTACGAGTTCTGCTGGACAACGAAAACACCAAAGCCGTGTTCAGTGAGAAGTTGGCTAGGCAGTTATCGGAACAAAAGACTGTCACTCATCCAGAAGAAGCTTGGTGCCATCTTCAGTCTACTGTAAAAGCAGCACTGGAGACTGTAGCCGACTCCAAGATAATGGCTAAAAAGAGCCAGTGGATATCAGCAGCTTCTTCCAAACTAATGGATGCACGTGAATGCATCCCTGCAGGCTCTGAGTACAATGAAGAGCGAGCGCAACTTAAAAATAAACTGACGAAAAGTCTGCGCAACGATCGTGAACAGTGGTGGGCAGCAAAGGCTAAAGAGATGGAAAAGGCAGCGGCGATCGGTAACAGTAGACAGTTATTTAGACTTATTAAGGAGACTGGGGGGAAATGGTCAACAACAGTTAGTGAGGTTATAGCGGAGAAGGACGGATCGGCGATTCACTCGCAGGGAAGGCGACTGGGACGATGGGCAGAACACTTTGAGGAACAGTTTAACTGGCCTCCAGCCACCATTGCGCTGCCCGCTATCCAGTCGGACCCTGAATGGGACATAGAGACAGGTCCCCCAACACTAGAAGAAGTTGAGAAAGCGGTAGGTAGCCTGAAACGGGAAGGGCAGCAGGACCAGACGGACTACCTGCTGAGGTATACAAGAATGGTGGTAGAGTTCTCTTAGTCAGGCTAACGGAAGTGTTAGCCAGTATATGGGAATCAAATACGATCCCCTCCGACTGGTCTAAGTCACTGATCATCCCAGTCTTCAAGAAAGGCGAGAAGTCCTCTTGTGATAACCACAGAGGAATCAGCCTGACAAACATAGTGTCTAAGATCCTAAGTTCTATAATTCTCCGACGCCTGAGTGGAGCTCGGGAACAGCAAGCCCGAGAAAACCAGGCAGGCTTTAGACCTGGCCGTGGATGTATCGACCAAATATTCACACTGCGCCAGGTCCTGGAACATAGGCATGCTTACAGACGCCCGACAATAGCTGTATTTCTCGACCTGAAGGCGGCATTTGACTCCGTTGATCGAGAAGTCTTATGGCAGTGTCTGTCACTGAAAGGCGTGCCTAGTAAGTACATCACCTTATTGAAAGCTCTCTACTCGAACACTTGTGGGCATGTTAGAGCCTATGGTGAGTTGTCCAGGGAGCTATACTCATCAAGTGGTGTCCGTCAAGGATGCCCACTATCCCCATTCTTATTTAATTTTATCATAGATATTCTTATGGAGGTTTCCCTCTCGTCACCTAATTACAAAGACGTTGACCGGATCACAGGTGAATTTTCCTTAGATCTAGAATATGCAGATGACATAGTCCTGTTAGGTGAAGACGCTGACAAGATGCAGAGTCTTCTGAACACTTTGAGTGGGAATTTGAGAATGTTTGGGATGCGATTTTCACCACCCAAATGCAAATTTTTGCTCCAGGACTGGTCTTCAGCGGTACCGCGGTTAACAATAGAGAGTGAAGTGGTTGAGTGTGTTGACCACTTCACTTACCTGGGAAGTAGGATCAACTCCGGTGGGTTAGTTGCCGATGAGATTTCTGCACGGATACAAAAGGCTCGATTGGCTTTTGCCAATTTGCGCCACCTATGGCGCCGCCGTGATATTCGTTTGTCTATTAAGGGTCGCGTGTACTGCACAGCAGTCCGCTCTGTTCTACTGTATGGCTGTGAAACATGGCCATTGAAAGTGGAAGACATGAGAAGGTTACAGGTATTTGACCACCGTTGCCTTCGTAGTATAGGACGTATTCCGTGGTGTCACCATGTGAGTAATGCAGAAGTTAGGTGTAGAGTTTTAGGGAGAAGAGGTAAGTCAGTCGACGAGGTTGTGAACCTTCATCGACTGAGATGGTTGGGACACGTACTACGTATGCCTAGTCACCGATTGCCTCGTCACACAATGTTGGCTGAGGTGGGTTCAGGCTGGAAAAAGGCCCGAGGTGGCCAGACTAAAACATGGCACCAATGTATGAAGTCTCTGACTGTTGGTTTAAGCCATGTAGGACGATGCAGACTAGGTGGTTGGGGTCCACGGGACAAGAGGAACCAGTGGTTGGAGACCCTAGGTGATATGGCTCAGAACCGAAGTCAGTGGCGCAGATGTATACACACATTATCCTCATCTTAACAACGCTATACCGAATCTCACTATTTTGTCACTCCTCTTTCCTTTCTTCTCATACTTTATATTTCTTTTGACTGCATTCACTTATCTTCATCCTTCACCTCACTACCTTTTTACTTGATGTGCTGATATGAGGTGTGGCAACTCGGACCGTTACGCAGTAATGCCTGGTCCTATGTTGATAATGATGATGATGATGCTCTATGTTGGTAGACGATGATGATGAGATTTTAGCTACAACCGCTTCATTTTTGCGTATCGCCTGTCATATAGTATACATGGTTAATAATTCCTTTTCATCCTTTCATAAATCAATCTAAAAATTCGCAAACTTTTGATAGTGTATTTCATAAGTTGAAAAATAACGTTGAGTTAGGTACTTTGCTCGAAACCTATTGTAGTGTTTTTTTTTCTTATTACAGAGAAAATTTTGGATCTCAAGATGGAGTTAATCCTATTAGAGTAGGATTTATTACATATGATCATCAGCTTCATTTTTACACAGTACCTCGGGAGTCAACTCCTGGGCAACCATCTGAACTCATAAATCAAAGCTCCTACAATTATGGCAAGCCTCAAATGTATATTGTAGCAGATATTGAAGATGTGTTTGTACCTGCAGTTGAAGGATTCCTTATTCCTCCAGATCCTGTTGCCATTTCTAGTATTCTGGAGATGATACCTACTCAGTTTTGTGCAGAAAATGCGGTTAACAGACAACCTGCAGATTCAGTTTTAGGACCAGCCATTCAAGCTGGAATGGAAGCTTTACGTGCTGCTAGTCGTTGTGGAAAACTGTTTGTTTTACATGCTAATCTGCCAGTTGCTGAAGCACCGGGAAAACTGAAACATCGAGATGATCGCCGTCTAATAGGAACTGAAAAGGAGAAAGTAAGTACATCTTGTGTATACCTTTCAAAATTCAGTGGTGTCTTTCTACCATTTCCCTAAAATCATCCATCATCAGACATGGTTTGGGATTACTTACTATCTACCTTACCCCAAAATTACTGCCGCTTTTAAAGGTACTTCGAACCATATTCAGTATTTGGATCATGTAATTAGAAGACGTAGTTTATCTGAAAAATGTGACGTATTTCCGTTATACAATTAAAACAATCTAATCAGGCATTTACTTGCCAAGGCATCCTATGTGCCCATCCGATAGCTGCTATCTTGACGTGGTGGTCTGGCTTGCATATCACAATGACCCAACGAGCTACACTGGTTGGAATGCTTGTTATCTCGAGGTCGTAACATACCAGAAAGGTCTGTTGAACAGTAGCAAGACGAAAAGCTGGGTGGCTGGGGTGTAACAGAAGTGGGGTGTTCCCCTTGGGTGACCAGCAGTGCCATGCTGATGCTGCCTTCCCTGTCGGAAGAGGGGGGTTTAGAAAAGGTTGACCTTTAAAATGGTACACTTCTCTCTACCCCATGGTTTTCTGGTGCTGAGGGTATGGGTTCTCCTTATCTGGCACTAGACAACCGAACCTCGAAACAACAACCCACAAAACATTGTATGAAAGGGCTTAAACAGATGTCCCATGAGCTCTGTGGTCACACAGAAGAAATACCGTCTCATGATGTTGGGAGCCGAGAAGTATGGACTGCCTGGTTGTAGTTCCAGAGATATGGCTAAAAATCGGTCACAACTGGTACATGCAGTTGGATGTGACGTAATCGTTTAAACAGTGATGAGGTCTGTGGTACTGTACTGACTTTTTCAGCTATGCTAGACCTAGGTGCACAATAAGTTTTGCTGATAGCATATCTTAGCTTTCGTTTTAAAGTTATGCTTTACGATTCTTATGCACATGGGGATAGCGTGATAGAATCGCTTTTTTTTTGAAGTGGAATACAAAGTGCATTTGAGCATTGACTGATTTCTGCAACGGTTTATCCATTCTCAGTTATTATTGTAGTGTCATCATCTATTGGGTTTTCTGTACAAATATATATTGGATTCTTTTGATTCGACAATTTATCAAGCCTAGTTTTTATTGTGTCGGGCAGAAGCTATAGAAACTTGAGCACTGCCTTGTTGCAAGTTGGTTCCCTGTAAATTGACTCAGCAGTATATCAAATGATGGTGGATGGTAAACGGAAGTTGTCATGCAGGATGTTGAACCTTTCTAGTCAACCAGTCACGTCTTAATGCTTGTCGCATCATACAGTTATGCCGTCAATGTATCTCTTATACAGCGTGAGCTACTAAAAAAATCACTAGGTAAACTTTCAAAATATCTGCTAGCAATGTTTCTGAGCGATTTCTCATCTTCATAGCATCGATTTGTCGAAAGTGTTCTCTTTCATCTATGTTGAGAAGTATCGTTGTTTGCTGAAAATATGGGAAATTCAGTCATGCTACATTGAAGAACTTGAATTTCGGAGAAGTTTCAAATCTAACTGCGTTTATTCGCTCCATTGTAGGTGGTTAATTCGCTAGGCCATCGTACTAAAACCTATATGGTGGAGCTGAAGGTTATTGAGTTTAAGGAAATGACCGATAAGTTGTCATAGGTTCTACGTCTCTCCACTCACCGAGGTTTGGTCAGCTCCCGCACAATAGGTGTGACTCATTGCCCACTACACGAGTGTATGCAATTCGACTCGAACTAAACCTACATACACACGAGTTTTCACCCTGATTGTCATACTCTTGTCTACTAATTGCGCGATTGAATATCGCGTTAACGTGTTTATGTTATGATGCGGAGTTGTGAGAACGAACGAAGCTACTTAACGATAGATGATAGTTGAGGGTTGAGATGATCCAACCCGAGGGATTCAGAAAGAGAAATCAAAAGACTGGAAATAGCAATGAAAACGTTCATGAGTAAAAACGGACTGCTGTGGCTGCGTATCGGGGATGACGTGGGTTCTAATGATACGCGAACAAGATAATAACGCAACGAGATACTTTGACTGGATACGAGTAATACGACTGTTCTCCCCACACCCTATACTTCACTTAGTCGCGAAAATCAGAAAACAAAAGGCGATCTGTTACTATAAGAACAACAACTTTACTAGACAAATAGATGGTATATAAATTTACAAAACCCTCGGAAAATGAAGCCATAAATAAACCAATCCGATTGGATGTATGACTTCGAATTCGTCCAATCAGGTTATCATGTCAGAACATGCATGAATCATGATCTGAAAACAATTTCTCTATTGGTTGCTTTTTTGTCGCTATCTATCACAGACCCTATTGATAGAATCTACAATAACCCTGAAAAACAAGGATTAATTAGTACATTTAAAGAGGCAGGAACCAATCAGAAAGCTAGCGGGTTACACGAAATAAGATCCATATGCATGAAAAAGAGCTCGAAGTAAAACGGTTCAAATATACCCAAACTCTAGGTATTGAATATAAGGGATATAGGCATCCCTAACAGTTTGACGATTAGTTATTTGCTTTACCGTACATAGTGTACAATATGGAGTCGTAGCACAGCCTCTAGTCTGTTACAAGCACCTTTTCTCTGTGATAAAAATGAAAGTTTTTACTTACTACCTGGCTGATACTATCATCACTCAAACAAGTCACTTTGGCTTTTCATAGAAAAATAGCTTAATTGAGTTTTCAATAGGTTATTGATTGAATTTTTCAGTGGATCAGAAAAGAAAACCCCTTCTAGTTTCATAATTGTTTATTAGAATTTTGATCAAAATGTTGAATATACATTCTATTTATATCATATGATGGAATTACGCTTTATTTACTAAAAATGCTAAAATGATTAAATATTATTGGGTTTTAGCATGAAAAGGGTCTTTTACTCTCTCACTAACACCAAAGTAATGTTAGTTGGTTGGAGGCAGTCGGCAGGAAGCCCTGCTTGACCTAGGTTTTTTGCTATTTGGCACTCGTCAGGAAGGCATATCTGCAATCTCGACGGAACTGATGTCCTGCCTGAGATTCGAACCCGTGTCACTCAGTGTTGTAGTCAGCGACTTTATCACTGAGCTGTTCGGTCTGCGATTGACCTCCTGTAGGACTGGCTTATATGTATTGATTGGTCACGGGAGTGCAACCAAATTTCATGTTGTCTAGTCCTGAGTACTTGGTTGCCACATTGCAAATATGATCGATAGAATTCGGTCTTCACTCAGGACTTAGACAACATGAAATTGGTTACACTTCCGTGACCAATCAATACACTATAGTAATCTGACCAATTTTCTACTGAAGGCATTATATATAGTCTTCTTCAGGTGAACCTTGTTGTCATTAATATGAGAGTGAAACTTGTACACTGTGATAGAATGTAAGGCCCGAGGTGGCCAGACTGAAACATGCCATCAGTGTATGAAGTCTCTGACTGTCGGTTTGAGCGATGTGGGGCGATGCAGACTAGGTGGTTGCAGCCCACGGGACAAGAGTAACCAGTGGTTGAAGACTCTAGGTGATCACATGGTTGAGAACGGATGTCAGTATACACACATTATCCTCATCTTAACGACGCTTTACCGAATCTCACCATTTTGTCATTCCTCTTTTCTCTCTTCTCATACTTTATATTTCTTTTGACTGCATTTCCTTATCTTCATCCTTCACCTCACTATCTTTCTACTCGATGTACAGGTATGAGCCGTGGCAACTCGAGCCGTTACGCAGTAATGCCTGGTCCTATGCTGATATTGATTGATTAAATGTAATTCCATTTTTATTGTTTGATTAGATTTGTCACACAGTAAAGGAACAGTATTATTGACTGGATTACGTTTCGGACATAAATTTATGTTATCCATAGTCATATATAAAGGTAACTAATTCCACAACTTTGAGATATCCTCTACATAGTTCTAATTTCCTCATCCCCTTTGTGATGATACGGGTAGTTTTAAAGATTTTCACACTGTCCCCATCCTGCTGTGTAGTTGTGCGTAATCGCATGCATAGCTGTAGCTGAGCTTTCCCCTAACTTCCTTACCTTACTAGGGTCTACCAATTTTGATCTAGCTAGGTATTTGTGCTCGGATGATCTAATTAACCAACCCTGGCTGGTCCACTACTTTGACTGACCTATATATTTGACCTCGCAATCGTTGCAAGGGATTAGGTGAAGTAAGTTATTCTGTTTAGTTGGATGAACAAGATCTTTTAACCAGCCAAGCCTTATTCAGAATCCTACGTAGTGTTTCTTAGGTGCCTTCCTTGTATTGTGGGGATACTGTAGAGGTTTTGAATTCTCTCTTTACAGTATTGCTGGTACTATTATTGACATTGTTATTACTACTATTAATAACTGTGTTACTGATATTTTTCTTACGATTCGTAAGGAACTTATCAATTAATTTGATAGGGTAATTGTTGATGAGTAAGGTGTCTTTAGTGTGTCTAGTTTCTTGACTTAGATCTTCTGTTTTACTGATAGACTTTCTGACCCTGTTACTTAGACACTTCACTAGGCCACCTTTAACTGATATAGGATGAGACGACTTAAAGTCCAAGTAAGGATTTCAATATGAAGATTTTCTGTAGACACTAGTGTCTAAACTTTCATCTTGTTTCCATTTTATTCGGTAATCCAACATCGTTAACTCCCCTTGACTATTTTCTGATTCCTAGGTGAATTGGATTGCGTTGACTACTGAATTTCTGTGTATGTGCTCCGGTTTCAACATTTTAAACGTATCGTCTATATATGGAAACCATATTTTTGGAGCCGGAATAAATTTTTCTACAACCATCCATTCCAAAGTATCCATAAATATGTTAGCCACAGTAGGCGGTATTGGTGATCTCATGGTAGCTCCTGCTGCTTGTTTGTATATTTTATTCTGAAACCTAAATATTGTAGAGGGGTTAGGCATAACTGTACTCCTAGCATGATATCGTCTACTGGTCCCTTAGTTCGTAGTGTAAGGTCATGGTCATTATTGAGCCCGTTTCTAACTGTTTCCAGAGCCATGCCAATCGGTATATATTAGTGTACAAACTAATTACATCGAAACTAACCATTTTTTCATCGTCATCTAATCTGTTCTTCAAGTCATAAGAGTTAGTAAATCGTAATTTAGATCGGTTTCTAATTGGACCTACTTCCATCATTAAGTATTTACATCAGTTATAATTAGGAATGTTTCTAAAGTCTACTACGGGTCTAATAGGATAACCTGGCTCTGCTGGGATTATTAGTTCTCAGCATTAAATTAAAGCATTTTGACTCACCTAGAAATGGCATCATTGAGCGAATTAGATCCACCGTCGTTACACACAACTACACAATAGGATGGGACAAGGCGACAGTGTTGAAAACTAACTTAGTTGGGTGGGTGGAGGGAGAGATTGATAACAGAATCTTTTTTTATCGAATCAACACACACCTAATAAATACAGCAACAGGAATGACTCAACACCTGTTCCGGAGATATGGAAAATCTTACTACCCATGTCATCACAAAGGGGATGAGGAAATCAGGACTATAGAAAGGATGTTCCAAAGTTACGGAGTTAGTTATCTTGATATGATTATGAACAATATAAATTATGTCTGAAACGTAATCCAGTCAGTCAACAATACTGTTGCTTCACTGTGTGATAAATCTAATCAAACAATCAGATTGAAGGGATGAAATATTCATTATTCTGAGATGATTTTCTAACCGTTAAGTGAAGTTAGCCAACTGTTTGGTAACAGATTTTGTTCCATCTCAAGCATCAGATAACAATTTTCTCCTATTCTCTGAACCTTTTTTGTTCACGTTTCATCAACTGTCATTATAGCTATTGTGAGTACTTCCATTTTAGTCTGTTTATTAGAAGTATTTCACATAGTGAGTGAAGCAACAATATCATTTACTGGATGACGACGTTTTGGACACAATTTATTGTCCATTTTCATATCAGATCAGGTAACTCCACAACTTGCAGACACACTTTATATATTCCTAGTTTTCTCTCCTTCTCTGTGATGACAAGGGTAGTTAGAATTTCCCACATTTCTGGGACAGGTGCAGCATCATTTCGATTGCTGTATGTATTTGCTCTGTTGATTCGATAAACAAAGATTCGGTTATCAATCTCTCCCTCCACCCATCCAACTAAGTTAGTTTTCAACACTGTCGCTCTATCCCACCCAACTGTGGGATTAAACGAACACAAGATGGAAATCTAGAGACTAGTGTCTATAGGAAACCTACTCATTTGAATCGCTGCTTAGACTTCGAATCCTCCCATCCCATTTCAGTTAAAGTAGGCCTAGTTAAATGCCTAAGTGATAGGGTGAAGAAGCTTACTAGTAGATCGAAAAATCTGTGACAAGAAACTAGATACATCAAGAATACCCTACGTCTCAATAATTACCCACCAAAATTTATCAATAAATTCATAAAAAGTCGAAAGAAAAATATTAGCAGTGGTAGTAGTAGTAGTAATACAGTTGTTACTGATAATAATTCCCTTACTAGTAGTAATAATGGTGACACGGTTAAGAGAGAATTCAAAAGCTCTGCTGTGTTGCCCTTCAAGGAAGGCACCTCAGAAACATTATGAAGAATTCTCAATAAGGGTGGCTGGGATTAAAGTGGCTGGCATTTGAACCAACAAACTCACTAAGAGAAACAAGCTTTGCAGGTTAAAAGTTCCTATCAATGCAATTAGGCAAAATAATCTGGTTTACCAGATCCCTTACAATGATTGCGAGGTCAAGTATATAGCTCAAAGCAGTCGACTAGCCAGGGTCGATTAGAATAACAGAGCACAAAAACTTAGCTAAATCAAGACTAGCAGATGCTAATAAGATAAGAAATCTAGAGAAAAGCTCTGCTATAGCTCTGCATGCGATGAGACAAAATCCCACAGTTGGGTGGGATAGGGCTACAGTGTTGAAAACTAACTTAGTTGGATGGGTGGAGGGAGAGATTGATAACCGAATCTTTGTTTATCGAATCAACAGAGCAAATACATGCAGCAATCGAAATGATGCTGCACCTATCCCAGAAATGTGGGAAATTCTAACTACCCTTGTCATCACAGAGAAGGAGAGAAAACTAGGAATATATAAAGTGTGTCTGCAAGTTGTGGAGTTACCTGATCTGATATGAAAATGGACAATAAATTGTGTCCAAAACGTCGTCATCCAGTAAATGATATTGTTGCTTCACTCACTATGTGAAATACTTCTAATAAACAGACTAAAATGGAATTACAATCGACCACAGTGCTCAAGTTTTACTCTTATACTATTGTGAGTAGGTTTGTTTTCTGTTGCTTTGCCTAACCTTCATGCAGGTTTGTTAAAAGAAATTGTCTTGTCCGTCTTTTCATCCTTTTCCTCTCTTCTTCTAGACACTTCTTGTCCCAGATAGTGATTTCTATACTGGACTTGGTCAAACCTGTGTAGAAGTTGGCTGTAGTGTAGATCTCTTTCTTTTCCCAAATGCATACACTGATATTGCTTCGTTAGCTGAAGTTCCCAGGATAACATCTGGACATTTATTCAAGTATAACTGTTTTCAGGTAAGCGAAAATATTGTATAATATTCAAGTCAATTTCATTTGTTTATCATCCAGGTGCATATTTCATGTATGATTCATTTGTGTTGACTAGAATCCTTAGTGTCATGAATCATTGTTTTTATAGACTGTTGGTTCAATTCTGTAAACTGTTCAACATTGTTCGATAACCACTAAATCTCTTATTCGTTTATAAACCTGTGGCGTAGACTCTCAACCAGGAGTGGTGGGTTATGGGTTTGAACGTTCTACTCCACCTACTGTGGTCTGGCTATCGGTGTAGCTTATTACCTGGTTCACGAAAGTCTACTTGATTATTGAATGCATCTCGAGATTTGTCTTGTTTAGTTGAGATGAGAAAACCTGAGGAAGGGAGGAGGCGGTTAGTGGAATAAAACCGTAGCATATATTTAGCTCCCATGGATATAACACTTGGATGTAATGCCATGTTCACGATTTGGCTTCGGTATGATAGCCGATTTAGCTCTCAGATGCTTTGTTCTAAGCATTTGTAAAAGCCTGTAATGTGACCAATAAGCGGGACTATGATTCATTACGTTAGGAGCTATTCGGCACGGTGTTACCACTGGGTGACGTGGGTTCGAACCTCAGTTGGGACATCAGTTCCCTCGAGGTTGCGCACATACGCTTTGGTGACGAGTGCCAAGAATCACGTGTCCGTCCAGGGCTTCCTGCTGATTGCATCTAACCAACTAACGTCTATCGATGTGCATCGCGATGGTTGAGTCTCCTGGCTTGGTGGACACATTGTAATTATGTTCGGTCTACATTTAGGACTGGACAACATGAAAATGATATACCTTCAAAGATCCTAACCTACGTCACTCCGTGCAGAAATTAGAGACTTTACTACTAGGCTATCCAGTCACTGAGTTACTTACACATCGAGGGGATATTGGTTTTCTAGTGTTTTTGATTGCACCTTGCCGATTTTGGTACCAATAAACACACAATTTAGGATCAAGATTTCTGATTGTATCATTGGAGATCGTGTATAGTAGTTTACTGGAAGTAGGGATTAACGTGCGATTGTATCCAAGCGGTCCTGAGTCACTGTAATGATTACATTATCATTACAACAACTGACACCCGCTGCGCAAGAGGTGGCTATCGTGCCCCAGTGGTTTAGTGGATAAAACTCTGGCATATGAATCGAAAGGTACTGGTTTCGAGCCTCAGTGGGGGTGCAGGTACACATATCCAGCTGATGAAACACGCGTTCTCGATTCCTCTGCTAGTCACCAAGATCAATATGAAGTCCTGTGTCATGTTGGTTTAACCGTAGCTCCACTACTAGATTATGTAAAACGTTTATCATAGAACTGAAAAATTTGAGTTTCTTCTCCTTTACACTGTAACGTTTTTGTTTAGTCTACAATAAGGAAATAAAATTGTTTTCTTTCACAGGCTGATCTTCAAGGTCATCAATTTTTAGCTGATCTCCAGCATACTTTACGCAATCTGCGAGCTTTCAATGCAGTTATGCGTGTACGTACAAGTACTGGTATCAGACCAGTTGAATTCTTTGGCAACTGTTATCTCCCGAATACAACTGATGTCGAACTAGCTGGTGTAAGCGCTGATATGGCCATCACAGTTGAATTACGTCATGATGATAAACTTCAAGAAGGTGAACTTGTATTCATTCAGGTGAGTAGATTTCCATTAGTATAGTTTTTATTGACTCAGTGTTTTTTCTCCTCATTATTAGGGGAAAAAAGGCGATACATTTGAAGTATACTACTTTGTGAACCAATTGAGTAGTGTAGGAAGCAGTTTGACTGATGCTTAGAATTCGCTAACCTTGATCCAAGTTACTTTAACACATTGGACTGTTCTTTTGAGATGAAGCTCATCAGTAGTGGTATACTCAGACAAATTCCAGTTCACTTGGTCGAATTGTTCAGATCAATGGAGTCTAGCCAGCTGATTGGAATTCATAGGTGTAGGAGAAATTTGATGGTTAATTTGCAAATTATTCAATTCACAATATTTCATATCACTTTTATGGTTGAAGATCACACTCTGTGTGATCATGACTGAGTAGGGGTTCGCAACGCATATCGTACCTATGCATGACTAACTCACAAATTGATTATCTTGTACACGGATACCTTATTGTCTATTTTTGATATGGGGATAGAGAGATGATCAGTCTGGAGAGAGACCAATCAAAACGTAGTTTATGTCATCACGTCTACAACAACTAGATAGGCAGACAGATAGATGGTAGATCAGCCAACCAATAGGATTATTTTAAACTGCGAACCATCTGTATATTGCATATATTATCCTGTTATTGTCGTTCGCCCCAATGCACGTTTCTACATGTCTTCTCCACTAATTAGTAGGGTCGGGAATGAGCCAAGAATTTATTGAATGTTGGTTGCTGACACTCCGATATCTGTGTATCGTTAGGGCTGACGGTGTTCACGATGAGGATTTATCGCATAACAATAGCTGCTGCCTTGACGTGGTGGTCGGGCTTGCATATCACAATGACGCAACGAGTTATGCTGGTGGGACGCTTGTTCCCTCGAGGTCCTATCATACCAGAAAGGTCTGTTGGATAGTGGTTAGACGAAAAGCAGCTACCGTTGTGGTGTAAATTACTACACTATGATAGGGGGTCTTGCTATCTGGGAAGAGATCAACGCAGACGAAGCCAATAAAAGATGATGACGGAAATTTAATTACGAAAGAAGAGAAACAAAAGAAACGATGGGGTGACCACTTCAAGAAGCTCTTGAATCGACCACCACAACCACTGTCACTTCTTCCAGAAATACCACACCTGCAGCCCAGCCACAGAACTACAAGTGAACATAAATCCTCCAACAAAAGTGGAAGTCCTGAGTGCCATAAAGCTACTGAAATGCGGGAAAGCAGCAGGACCAGATGGAATTCCAGCAGAAGCATTGAGAACAGACGCAGAGACAACAGCGGACATGCTCACACCACTATTGCAGAAGGTGTGGGAGGAAGAGAAGGTACCTGCCTATTGATTGGAAGAAGGGTTACCTTGTCAAACTGCCGAAGAAGGGAGACCTCAGTGTTTGCAAGAACTGGCGCGGAATCACTCTCTTGTCCACCCCAAGTAAAATATTAAGCCGCATCATCCTGGAGAGGCTTAAGGATGCACTGGATTCAAAACTACGACCGGAACAGGCAGGATGGCTTCAGGAAGTACAAATCATGTGCAGACCAAATTGCAACGCTTCGCATCACCATAGAACAGAGTATAGAATGGCAATCAGCTCTCTACCTCAACTTCATCGACTTTGAGAAGGCCTTTGACAGCGTCGACCGAGAAGTAATTTGGAAACTGCTTCATTACTACGGAGAACCGCAAACCTTTATCCACCTCATTCAACAACTATATGAAGATGCCACATGCTAAGTAATTCACAATGTGAAGCTCAGTGATGCTTTTGAATTGAAGATAGGAGTGAAACAAGGTTGCCTACTATCACCCATGATATTCCTGATTGTGGTCAACTGGACTGGATCATGCAGCAAACAGTGGGGAGCTGTGAGAAGAGGGGGATACGCTAGCTGGACTGCGGAAAAGAACCTAGAAGACTTGGATTTCGCCGATGACCTGTGCCTGATGTCACACAAACTTGAAGATCTAGAGGCGAAAACTAACTAGCTGGCAGAGGAGGCAGGGCAGCGAAGACGGGACTTCAAGTGAATATAAAGAGATGATGACAGAGGTGATGAAGATACCGCACCACCACCACCACCAACAACAAACTTGAATCACCATCAACGGGAGAAAGTTCAAGGAAGTAACCTCCTTCACTTATCTAGGAAGCACTGTTTCAACTACAGGTGGCACAGACGAGGATGTCAAGGTCAGCCAGGATCGAAAACATGGCAAGACAGGCGTTCATTAACCTGAAACCAGTGTGGAGATCTTCTGCATTCAGCATAAGGCGTGAACAAGATCCGGATTTTCAACACCAATTCACTCAAGTCAGTGCTTCTGTATGGTTGGGAGACTTGGCGCGTTACGAAAGGTATTTCCAATAAACTACAGACATTCATCAAAAACTGCTTACGCTGGCTCGCTACTGAAGATCAGATGGATTGCCAGAATAATAAGAATAAGCAACAAGGAACTCTGGGAACGAACCAACGAAGCAAGAACCTATCACCCAACAAATATGCAGGAGGAAGTGGAGATGGATTGGACATACACTGAGAAGGCCGACTGGGGATATCACGCGTCAGGCCAGGCCGTCGAGTGGAATCTTCATAGGAAGCAAGGAGTTGGATGTCCGAGTTGAGGGTGACATGGAGGAGGTCATGCGTGGAGGAAATGAGAGCTTGTGAACTGTCGTGGAACCAGGTTGAAAAGATCTCAGAGAACAGAGTTCAGTGGAGACGTGCTACTGAAGCCCTGTGTTCCATTAAGAACCCAAGGGACTAATAATAATAATAATAATAATAATAATAATAATAATAATAATAATAATAATAATAATAATAATAATAATAGGAGGTCTGGGAGGCGAAGTCGTACTGCTGTTAGCTGGATGGGGTGTGACGTCAGTAAGGTGTTTTCCCTTGGATGACCAGCAGTACCATGCTGATACTGCCTTCTCAGTGGAGGGGGTGGGGGTTAGAAAAGGTTGGCCCCCCAAAAACACTCCACCATGCCCCACGGTCTGCGGCCGGCCGGCGGTGTTGGTTCATCGCATAGCGGAGTACCTGATTATTCAGACCAGCTACACCTAGATTACTCTGACACAAACTGGATACAAATCTCAGGCTGTCATAAAAAAAAACTGAGCCTTGTTGGCAAACAGTAAAACAACACTGTCGGCTCAGAAAAAAAGGTTGGCAAATTGACGTAACCATTTCATCCACGGCAACGCTTAAATCCTCACAACTGATTGGCATCATCTTAAAGCATTTTCAGCGATCCAGTGTCGTACAATATTAGAATTCCACATCTAAAACTATAGGAAATGTTTTTGCAAATATTTATCAGTCTATTCTTCTGAAGCGGAGAGCAGAAGGATCATCAAACATCCTTCTTCAAATTGTTATTGTTACCAAATTAATCCCCTCATTTACAGCTTCAGTTCAATTACTTCAAACTGCGCGACAGCACAGATTCAGCAGAAGAGTTTTGAGGAATAATTTGTCACAATCATAAGACATCAATCTCTATTTCAAGGGGGGAGGTGTTATAGTGTGCTTAAAATACTTTTCAACCAATCGCTTTGCTTCGAAGTTTCGGGGAAAAACACGTGACTCAACGTGTAAGTATCAGATTGGTTGAAGAGATGAAAAATCAATAGAGTTTAAATCCAATAAACCTTGAGATGGCCAAGGTCATTGTAATAGATATAAACCTTGTAATTTGTATATAGTTGTTGACTTTGCCATTGATGCAAATACACCTTGTGTTACATTACCGTTTTTTTATTTATTTACGGAGTAACTGAAGTCACCAGCAATGGGTGGGATCTAAAGGTATTTGTACACATGTTCACACTTACATAAATCAGGCTCTATCAAGTCACTATTTGTTATTATTATTATTTATCCCTTGGGTTCCTAGTGGAACATAGGGCTTCAGTAGCACGTCTCCAGTGCATTCTCTTCTCTGCAGTCTTCTCGACCTCGCTCCACGACAGCCCACAACGTCTCATTTCTTCCACACATCATCTCCTCCATGTCACCCTCAGCTGGGACACCCAACTCGTCGTTTCCCATCTGGGTTCCACTCTAGAGCCTAGCGGTCTTCTCAGTGTATGCCCAATCCATCTATACTTCCTTCCACTGCATATTTGTTGAGCAATAGGTTCTTGGTTGGTTCGTTACCAGCCAGCCACAGTTCCTTGTTGCTTATTACTTCTGGTCATCTAATCTTCAGTAACGAGCCAGCGTAGGCAGTTGTTGATGAATATCTGTAGTTTGTTGGAAATACCTTTCGTAACACGCCGCCAAGTCTCTCAACTATCACACAGAAGCACTGACTTGACTGGTTGGCTTTGACGTCCTCTTCTGTGCCACCGCCTGTAGTTGAAATGATACTGCCCTGTCTAGGTGGTAGGTGAAAGAGGCTACTTCCTTTAAGTTTCTCCCGTTGATTGTGATATCAAGTCACTAGTAAAGATATATCAAAGTGATGACTGATGTCTACAAAAAGATGTGAGTAATGCAGAAGTTAGGTGTAGAGTTTTGGGGAGAAGTGGTAAGTCAGTTGACGAGGTTATGAACCTTCACCAACTGAGATGGTTGGGACACGTACTACGTATGCCTAGTCACCGATTGCCTCATCACACAATGTTGGCTGAGGTGGGGCCAGGCTGGAAAAAGGCCTGAGGTGGCCAGACAAAAACATGGCACCAATGTATGAAGTCTCTGACTGTTGGTTTAAGCCATGTAGGACGATGTAGACTAGGTAGTTGGGGTTCGCAGGACAAGAGGAACCAGTGGTTGGAGACCTTAGGTGATATGGCTGAGAACTGATGTCAGTGGCGCAGATGTATACGCACATTATCCTCATCTTAACGACGCTATACCGAATCTCACTATTTTGTCACTCCTCTTTCCTTTCTTCTCATACTTTATATTTCTTTTGACTGCATTCACTTATCTTCATCCTTCACCTCACTACCTTTCTACTTGATGAACTGACGTGAGGTGTGGCAACTCGGACCGTTACACAGTAGTAATGCCTGGTCCTATGTTGATAATGATGATGACAAAAAGATGCATTAAAATTTTGTAATGAATTGAAATTCTCTGTTTAAAATTTACAGGTTGCATGTCTTTATACTTCAATTTCTGGCCAACGAAGATTACGTATTCATAATTTATCAATTCCAGCAACAAATATGATAACTGAAGTATTTCGTCTTGTTGAATTAGATACTCATATGAATTGGTTGAGTAAATACTCTATGCGTTCATTACTCAGTCGTACACATTCACAAGTAATGGATGATATAACGACAAGAGCTGCAAATACACTGGCTGCTTATCGTCGTCATTGTGCTGGTGGACCCGGTGATATCGGTTCAAGTCCTGGTGAATTAGTATTACCGCAAAATATGAAATTATTCCCATTGTATATACAATGTCTTATGAAAACTGAGGCATTTAGTTCAGGTTAGTTTATTGTTCTGCCTTTCCCTTCAATTTTTATAATTTGTAATATTTCTCCTGTGTCCCTATATATAGTCTTTATACATTCATATGCATCATTATGAACATGAAAAACAACATCGGACCAAGTGTTACTGGATAACAGAGCAAGTTGCTAGCCACACCTCATGTCAACATATCAAAGTAACAGGGCAATAAAATTCAAGATGAGATTAAGTATAGCGTTTAAGATATCGATAATGCATGTATACATCTGTGCCATTGATATCGATTCTGAGCCATATCTGGAGCCTCTAACCACTGCGTTCTCTTGTCCCATGAACCTCCTACATGGCTCAAATCAACAGTGAAAGACCATGCATTGATGCCATGTTTTAGTCTGACCACCGCCAGCCTTTTTCCAGCCTGAACCTACTTCGACTAACATTGTGTGACGAGGTAGACAGTGGCTAGGCATATTGTAACACATGTCGGAGCCAACTATCTCAGTCGATGAATTGTCTCTCCTTTCCTGCTTAAAACTCTATACCTGACTTTTGGGTTACTCATGGGGTGACACCACGAAATATGACCTATACTACGAAGACAACGTTGGCCAAACAACTGAAGCCTTCTCATGTTTTCTACTTCTAATACCCATGTTTCACAACTATAGAGTAGAACAGAGAGGACTGAAGCAATCGGAAAATCACGGTGGCGTCACAGACGGCGTAAATATGCGGAAGCCAACTGAACTTTGTGTATCCCCGAAGAGATTTTGTCGGCTACTGACCAACGAACCAGGGCTGATCCGACTTTCTAGGTGAATGAAGTTGTCAACGCACTCAACCACTTCACTCTACATTGTTATTTGATGTACCGTCGTGGAGCAACAATTTGTACTTGGGTGGCGAGACACACCTAGCAAACATTCTCATATTGCCATTCAAGGTATCTAAAAGAATCTGCATCTTGTCAATGTCTTCATCCAACAGGACTATGTTATACAAACCACCTAGACTTTATTTTTCAAACTTTCAATGTAAGTGATCGTTTGATTCCGTCTCTAATTCAGATGTCTAGCGTGATGATGCTAGCTGATGACAATGAAACTATGCAACTGAATCTTTTCAACTAGGGACAATCTCAACACCATGGATAAATGCAGGAAAGAAAAGAACAACACATTTGTAGATGAAAAGTTTTTTAATTGTTGCATCCACAATGAAGCTAACTAACAAAGTGGTAGCCCTGAAAAAATGTCGTTAAAACTGTCCATTATCTATATTGTTGGAAAAATGATGAATTCAAGTTTATACAAGCCAACAGTGGTCGGATCAAACATCTCTTCCTATAGCAGAGACCTGTTTCATAATAATCATCTGAATATCGTTGTTTGCCTACAAGGTTTAACCAATTTTTTCCTTTATTTTTTGCTCCAGTTTAGCGGTGTGATCACTGAGTGATATTGATATTAGATCTATTGAATTCGATCAGTGCTGAACACTAAGGAGTTGGCCACAACATCGGTTGTCTATGAATGATCAACCTGTGTATATCACCTAGTTCTACATGAGATGATCATTTTTAGTCTGAATAGCTCACTAGTTAGGTTTAGAAGTAGTATTCATCATAGACTGACATCAGTTTGGGAACCATTGAAAATCTGGGAGCACTGGACAGCTGTTTCGTCCAACTAGTGTGGGACTCCTCAGCCGTGAAACCTGAAGGTCTTGAGTTCGATCCCTAGCCGGGTCGTGGGTGCGTACTGCTGAGGAGTCCCATATTAGGACGAAACAGCTGTCCAGTGCTCTCAGATTTTCAATGGTTCCCCAATTGATGTCAGTCCATCATGAATACTACCTCTTAGTTAAAAACCCCCTCTCATCTCAAAAATACATTACTGGTTGTTAGGTGTTTGAATTCAGTAGTGAGTGACGTGGTTTCATGGTTACAGACTTGCCTTGCTAATGATGAATGCCCAAGAAACTTGAAATCTAAGTCAGAGGCTTCCTGACTATTAATTTCTGACATGTAACTGCAAAGTAAAGTGCTGCAGGTTAAATTTTGTATATGGTAAACATGATTTATGCGGGGGGCATTTTCTCACACTAACTGGGGTAAAAAGTTTTGGGATTCTTTTGGTGTTTGATAACATGTGTTCAGTTATAGTTATTGGCAGATGTAAAACCTCAATTAGATCTAATTCATAGCAATGCACGAACTATTCAGCAGTTCCCTTTGTCATCCTAGATGACTGTGAGAAATAACCATTAAAAGTAGAGGTGGTGAAAAGGTTACCTTCTTATCACTTGCCGTGTATTTCTGAGGCAATATGGCAGGAACGTAAAAGTTAGGCGTACAATTTTAAGTGTAGAAGAGGAGGTGTGTCCGTTGAGGGTTCAAGGTGGCCAGAACAAGAGCTGGCATCAGTCGATCAAGTCTCTTACTGTTTGTCTGAGTTGTATGGTTGGCGCTTCGAAACGAAAGGAATAAGTGGTTGAGGACTCTTGCTGACACAACTGAAGATCGGTTATAGTGGTGCAGATGTATTTACTCCTTGACTGACGTCTTTTAAAGCTTGAATATTCACACTAACCTTTATCTTCAGATTGTTTATTGGCTCATTCTACTTCATCTACATTGATATCACCCCTTTTCTATCCACCTATTCTTTGTATACTTCTAGAAAGTGTGGGAACTTGAACCGATGCAGTTATGTACGAGGTTCTACGCTAATTATGTCATCCATCCATTCATTCAGTTCGTGGATGTGTGAACCTCCATCTGCTGAAATGTCTAGGACATGTGTTATATATACTGAATCACTTTTTACCCCCTTGCACAGTGTTAACTGAAGTGGCTAGACTACAACGTAGTACCAGTTCATGGAGTTTGTGACTGTTTGCCTGAGTTGTGTAATGAATGTCGACCTCTCAGTTAGTGTGTCTGCTTGACAAGAGAAACTAATGATTAGAGACTGTAGAGTGATATGACCTGGAATCAAGCTCAGTCAGTGGTGCATTGCATTTCTTTACTGTTTCACTTCATTGTCCTGTATTTGGATAACTTTCCACAACTTTTGACTTCACTTTTCTACTTTATTTTTCTATCTTTCTCGTTTCTGTTGTGTGTATCTTAATCTACAGACGTTTGTACTGTTGCTTAGTAATTTCAGGTACCATGTTGATATTGACTGACTGATTGCAGGTGTGAAACAGTTTTGAATCACTCTCATGTGGAGCCGTATCAGTGATCAATAGTAGCTGGCAGTGGGATCTAGGGTTCGTCTTTCGTCTTATTCGGAACTCGTTAGCTGGTTGTACCTAGCTTACAGTGGCATCATCCAGCTGACGAGTCCTAAATAGGACGAAACGCGCTTCCTGGACGCCACTGCTAACCACTATCCATCATTAATTTCAAAAGTTAGAATACTGGCAAATATCGAGGCAACCGCATTGCGCAATGTACTCATCAGAGGACGAGTATACTGCGCCACAGTTTGTTCTCTCCTGTTGTACGAATGTGAGACATAGCTGTTAAAGTAGGAGACATGAACAGTTACAGCTTTTCAACCATAAGTGTCTTCGTAGCATTGCTCTTGTTTGTTGGAATCATCGTGTTGAGGTCAGACGAAGGGTACCGGGCAAGGTTGGCAAATCGGTTGATGTAGGTGTGTGCTATCATTTTGACTATCTGAGATGGCTATCGTTTGACAGACTATTGGGTAATAATTGAAGATGAAGTGAAAATTTGGACTGCGGCCGGGTTCGAGCCAGCTACCACCGGGTTACCGGCCCGATGCTCTACTAACTGAGATACGAGGTCCGACTACCGACCATATTTTCACTTCACCTTCAATCATCACCTCGTATCGGTAGTACATGTGTACCAAACTAAGGCTGTCTCAGATGGTCAAAATGATTATCAATATGATACTCCCCCTGTCTAGTTTAGTTAAATTTGGGTTGTGATGAAAAGTCTTGACTAGGCAGTCAGGATGAATACAACCAAGCGGTAGTAACGCCTCACAAATTCACATGGTAGTCGGGCGAACCCTTAATGACTGAAGTTAAGTAAAAGCCATATAGTCAGCAGTTGGACCTCGTAGCTCAGTTGATAGAGCACCGGGTCTGTAACCTGTTGGTCGCTGGTTCGAATCCACCTTCGGTCATCATCTAGTATGAAGTTGTGAACGTAAGTCGACTGAAATGAGTTGGGAATGTGTTGCGCATACCGAGCCACCGTCTCCCTCGACTTGTCATAGTAAGAGGAGGTGGATTATGGTGGAAAAGATTTCAGGGTGTCCAGACCAAGACCTTACAACAGTCGATCAAGTCCCTAAATGTTGGCTTGAACCATGTTAGAAGACGTAGACTGTCTGGTTGAGGTCGCCGAGACGAAAGGAATCAGTGATTGAGAACTGTTGGTGGCATGGATGAAAATCGGTCACAACAGCGCAGATGTATTCACTCCTTGACTGACGTCTTCTAAAGCTTGAATATTCACATTAAGCTTTATCTTCAGATTGTTTCTCCTCCCACATAACGTTGTTCTACTTTTGTATCACTACTTTTATATCCACCTATTTTTTGTATACTTCTAAGGAAGTGTGGGAACTTGAACCGATGCAGTTATGTGCGAGGTTCTACATCGATTTTGCCAGTCAGTCAGTCACAGGAACCGATATGCCAATTGGTAGTAGAAAACAGAAGTAAAACAAACAATGTGAGCAAAGAAATATTTCTTTTCGATTAGTTTCTCATCAATGGCTCTACACTCATATATATGTAGCATTTTCAAAACGTAAAATTACATACCAATCTAGTGATGAGAGTTGTTCAATGAAAGGTTATCAATCTCAAAGTATCAAGAAGGTGAATATTGATCAGGTAATTAAAACTATTAACTAAAGCATAGATGAATTATAGTAGAGAGATTTTGTGAACAGGTTCTTACACAAGCGATATTTTGTATAGTGGTAACTAAAGAGTGAAAATGAATTGTTGAGTAAAATGGTAAGTTGTTGATGGTAATTAGAGACAGTCGGGGGAGAGAAAGATGGTTAAGTCTGTAATAATAATAATAATAATAATAATAATAATAATAATAATAATAATAATAATAATAATAATAATAATAATGGAGCTATTAAAATATTAGTTATAGTGAATTGTGTGGTGGATGAAATGAAGAGTCCTGTTGTAATAAATGAGCTATACAGATGGCCAAGGCAAAGAAAGAGGCTGTACGAATCTCTTGTGAACACACAGACTTGGTTTGTGTAGGTGGATTCCTATAGATTCTGCTGTATGTAAAAGACGAACTCGTAGAGGATGGGTGAGGTGAGAAGGTAGGTGATAAATAACTTTAAAAGCATTATGAGTGTTAACTCGGTGGTCGGTGTCAATCAGATGAAACATAAACAGAAAGTGACGACAGCACCTTCTTAGATATCCGATTGACAAGGAAGGCGGATGGAACTATAAAAACAAGTTTGTATCGGAAACCAACGTCAACAGGTCAGTACACCCACTTCTTGAGTTTCGTCCCTTTCAATATAAACGAAATCTAGTTAAATGTTTGGTCCATCGGGCTAGACTCATCTGTTCAGATGATACTTTTGACGAAGAGCTTCAAATTATCCACGATCTACTCAGTAGTAATGGATATCCAGAAAAGTTCCTGGCTAAAAATATGAACACATCCAATATGAAAACCAGAATGCCTACAGTCTCCAAGAAACCATTGTTCCTAAGACTACAATTTCGAGGTGACATCATCAGCGAAATTGTGACACAACGCTTAAGAAATGCCATAAGAAGTTCATTTAATGCCACCAAGTTATGTTGTGTTTTCTACAGCCGGTCGATGATGACCACACGAACTAAAGACAGACTCCTTGACTTCTTCTCTGTGCATTTACCAGTTCAACTGCTCCTGTGGCGCAAGTTACATTGGACGTACAGGTAGGCAAGTCTGTCGTCGAATCGCCGAGCATCACCTTTCTTGGCTAACTAAAGGGGAAACCAAATTGACACGAAGTTCAATACTCTCTCATCTGATTGACACCGGCCACCGAGTTAACATTCATAATGCCTTTAGAGTTATTTACCACATTCCTTCTGACCTCACCCATCCTCTATGAGTTCGTCTTTTACATACAGCAGAAACCATAGGAATCCACCTACACAAGCCAAGTCTGTGTGTTCAGAAGAGATTCGTACAGCCTCTTTCTTTGCCTTGGTCATCTGTATACCTCATTTATTACAACAAGACTCTTCATTTAATTCACCACACAACTTATCATAACTAATATTTTAATAGCTCTATTATTATTATTATTACTACTACAGACTTAACCATCTTTCTCTCCCCCGACTATGTCTAACTACCGTCAACAATATACCATTTTACTCAACAGTTCATTTTCGCTCTTTAGTTACCACTATACAAAATATCGCTTGTGTAAGAACCTGTTCACAAAATCTCTCTACTATAATTCATCTATGCTTTAGTTAATAGTTTTAATTACCTGATCAATATTCACCTTCTTGATACTTTGAGATTGATAACCTTTCATTGAACAACTCTCATCACTAGATTGGTATGTAATTCTACATTTTGAAAATGCTACATATATATGAGTGTAGAGCCATTGAAATGAAATATTTCTTTGCTCACATTGTTTGTTTTACTAAACATCTGTTAAATGCTGACTGACTGACCTGAATGCCAAGCTTCTAGGGATTCTCTGACATTCTTTGTGTTTCCTCTCTCCGTCCAACATTTGTACATTGTCCAAATTGAATTCATGTCCATAGTTGTTATCCACATGCATTGAAATGAGTGATGAAATGTTGTGCGTGATATCTAATAGCCAATTGGTGTTCATGTAGACGAAGGTGAAGAGGGTGACCACTTTGTCCGTTATGGTGTATTGACTACAGTTATTCCAGTTGATTTTGTAAGTGATATTCGGTTTGTTTGACGAACTAATTGAAAAGAAATATTTCTTTGCTCACATTGTTTGTTTTCTCTAAATGTCTAAATGGGAATTTTCGCATTACTGAAAACAGAAGTGGTGTTGAACCTAGTGTTTTTTTTGTGGTTGTAAAAGAGGTGAATCATATGAATTTGTAGTTCATCAATTAACAGGTGATTAAGATGCCTGTGTAGATTATTATTTATTATTATTAGTCCCTTGGGTTCCTAATGGAACATAAGGCTTCAGTAGCACGTCTCCACTGAACTCTGTTCTCTGAGATCTTTTCAACCTGGTTCCACGACAGCCCACAAGCTCTCATTTCCTCCTCGCACGATCTCCTCCATGTCACACTTGCCTCGGACGTCCAACTCGTCGCTTATCATGGGGATTCCACTCGGGCGACTGGCCTGACGCGTGATGTCCCCAGTCAGCCTTCTCAGTGCATGTCCAATCCATCTCCACTTCCTCCTGCATATTTGTTGGGTGATAGGTTCTTGCTTCGTTGGTTCGTTCCCAGAGTTCCTTGTTGCTTATTCTTATTATTCTGGCAATCCATCTGATCTTCAGTAGCGAGCGTAAGCAGTTGTTGATGAATGTCTGTAGTTTATTGGAGATGCCTTTCGTGACACGCCAAGTCTCTGAGCCATACAGGAGCACTGACTTGAGTGAATTGGTGTTGAAAATCCGGATCTTGTTCACGCCTTATGCTGAATGCAGAAGATCTCCACACTGTTTTCAGGCTAATGAACGTCTGTCTTGCTTTTCCGATTCTGACTTTGATATCCTCGTCTGTGCCATCTGCAGTCGAAACAGTGCTTCCTAGATAGGTGAGCCTGTGTAGAGATAGACAGTTTGTATTCTCAACAGACAAAAAGATATTTGCATACCTCAGTAGTGTTGACTTTTTTTTGAAAGTGGTATATTGGGTTTTTAAAAAAAGCGTCTACTTCATTTTGCTTTTCTTTAGCTGACGGTATAACAATCGATGATCGTTGTTGGCAAATGTTTTTAGTCAATCAAATGGATGTGAAACAATCCAATTGTTATCTTTACCCACATTTATATCCTGTGGTAAGATTTTTCAGACTTTTGTTAGTGTATTTTTAAAAGTAAAAACGTATTTAAAACGAACAAAGAGGATGCACTCAGTATGCCTGTGCACATATTTGCTCGAAGTAGTAGTGAGCAATGAGTTGCACACCTATTCCATATCAGGGTTTTATTGATGTTCCTATCTGTCTGGCGAAACCTCAATAGGTGAAGCGGGTTTTAAACCCCAATGACCCACAACTCCTCATTAACGACTACTTTCAGGATTGTTTCTAAGCTTTTTAATTCTTTCGATAGGAAAAATAGCTTTGAAATATGATAGTTACCATTTTTAGCCTTAGTTAGTAGTTGAGAAGCCCGGATACTTAGTTGCAATCGTGTCATGATTGTGATAAATCATTTCAGAATATGCATCATTAGTCAATAATTATTTTACACGTTGTGTGATTCAAGATATTGAAGTTTTGAGACGTTTACTTGTTGACCTGTTAGTTAGTTGTTAGCTTGCTGTCCTATAGACAACTGGAACACTCTGAGGTAGGGGTAGAGTCGGGGTAACTTCAGTCATCAGTTCGAGTGATTACTGAGTTGGCTTCAAGTTTCCATCCATCCAGATCAACCTAGGACCAGGCATTACTGCGTAACGGTTCGAGTTGCCAGACCTCATCACTACATCAAGTGAAAAGGCAGCGAAACGCAAGATGAAGATAAGAGAATGCAGTCAAAAGAAATATAAAGTACTAAAAGAGAGGAAGGAAGACTGAGAAGATGGTGGGATTCGATAAAGCGTTAAGATGAGGATAATGTGTGTATACTGACATCCGTTCTCAACCATGTAATCATCTAGAGTCTCCAACCACTGGTTACTCTTATCCCGTGGACTGGAACCACCCAGTCTGCATCGCCCCACATCACTCAAACCAACAGTCAGAGACTTCATACATTGGTGCCATGTTTTAGTCTGGCGACCTCGTGCCTTTTTCCAGCCTGGACCTACTTCTGTCAACAATGTATGATGAGGCAATCGGTGAGTAGGCATGTGTAGTACGTGCCCTTCCCTAACGATCTCAGTCGATGAAGGTTGACAAGTGTGTCAACTGACTTACCCGTAGTCCGTAAAACTCTACACCTGAGCCTGACTTGTGCATTACTCACGTGGTGACACTATGGAATACGGCGTATACTACGAATGTGATGGTGGTGAAACACTTGAAGGCAGCCTTCTCATTTCTTCCACCTTGAATGGCCATATTTCACAGTGATAGAGTAGAAGAGAGTGGACTGTTGTGTAGTACACGCGACGGTTAATAGACAATCGTATAATATCACGGTTGTGATGCCACAGGTGGCGTAAATTGGTGGAAGCCAACCGAGGTTTTTGTATTTGTGTAGAGATTTGATTGAGCACTGAGCCATCAGGGTTCATTCTACTTGCCAGGTAAGTGAAGTGTTCGACACACTGAAGGATTACAGTGTGTATTGTTAGTTGTGTGATCATTGAAGACCAATCGTGGAGCAACAATTTGCATTTGGGTGGTGAGAAACGCATGGCTTCAAGTTTACGTTGTAATGAATATTTTCTGTCTCGTTATATGTACGCGTATCTGTTCGATGTTAGTAATCATTGATCTAGACACTTGATCTCTAACCGATGTGTCATGAGTTCGAGTCCCGCTTTTTCAACTACTGTCTTGTCAGTTAGATATTATCACTAACCATCACACAATAAGTGTGACTAATCGTCTGTTACAGGGATGTGCAAATGATTACTGAGCAGATTTGGTTTTCACGAAAGACTAACTAAATTGTTATCAGTATCGCTGGGAAAATGGAGTAAAGGTCAACCTTTAACCACAAGCCAATAATACTCAAGGTCATTGAATATCCTTCGTAAACATTCATACAAACATTTCCCTTTTTTATAAAGTGAACACTGAAGATGTCGCTTAACCCCTGGCCTTTCATGATCGATAGTGTTTATAACATACAACTAACCGGTCGTCTTTTTTTTCTTCTGAGCTTATTTTTAGCATGACCTTTCAATCAATTTTGAAGGTGAGATACCTTATCCACCAGGTGCTATACGCTGTTCATATGATCGTTTACAAATGGATGGTGCCTATCTACTTGATAATGGAATTTATCTTATCCTGTGGATTGGTCCAAATATTCCTTCAGAATGGATTCAAACAGTTTTCAATGCTTCAAATCCTAAGCATTTTGAATCAGAGAAGGTAAAAGGCTACAGTTTTTGAGACGAATGGGGATTTTAATTTTGAAGACTGACATCATTTGGAGAACCATTGAAGAACTGGGAGCGCTGGACAGCTGCTTTTTCGTCCTAGTGTGGGACTCATCAGCAGTGCACACCATTTACTCCACCAGGGGTCGGACTGTAAACCTTCGGGTTACGTGTTCAGCACGTTCCCATTGAGGCACTGGGTTGGGATCTTATGGTCCATATTTCCTACTTCTGTCACTTCACGATATATAGCTTGACCTCCATCCAATGCTGTCTTCGAGTGACTGTCCTTATATTCGAATTGGTTGGCGTCACCGGTCACGACTTTTCACTGGTACTTCGGAACTAGTCACCAATGAGGACTGGATTAATTCAATTAGGATAAAAATCAACCTGAAATGCCTAATGCTTAATATTAAGACGACGCAGCTCCCAGGTTTCTAATGTTCCTCCAACTGATGTCAGTCCATGATGAATACCAACTTGAAAGAAGGCAAATATTTCTGTGATATAACCACAGTGAAGTTAATCGACGAAATCTAAACACAAATACGAAAAGGTCGCTTAACATTTACCAACTTACTCCACTTGTGGTGCTGATAAGATATCCAATAGCATTCAATGGGCTGAGTGGACTGTAAAGGAATTAACTTTGTTGTATATGGTTGTGTGACGATGATTACTTTTGGACGACATGAAAAGGCTTGACGGTGTGTTACACCACCGTTGCTTTCATATCATTGGCACGTGTGTTATAAAATCACTACATTAAGTGTAGACTCTTAGGTAAGTGACGTGAATCGGTTGGTGAGTTTTGTTCAGCTTCACTGGATAACATAACTGGCGCGTGTATCAGGCACGCCTAGCCCCCCACCACCACCTACAGAGTTAGCCTGTCAAAGGGACAAATGTATTCAGGTGGTTAGAATATGATCTGACTATGCACAGTACATTGTATCCAAAAAGTAATTCAATAAATAATGCTGATGTATCGAATAAATTAACTAAAATGGAATTTCTTTCTCTTATCGGAATTTTCAGATCAATGACAAAGGTTGTAGTGCCAAAGGTTTTGACATATTTTACTATTTTGCAAGAATTAGCTTTTGACTACTTAATTGTTTTGTAAGTAGTAAATTTTCCTGCTGATAACTACTTATGTATTGTTATATTTTCACTTATTTAGGTTTATGATTTATGTAATTTCGATAATGAAACTTCAAGAAATCTATGCACATTATTAAGAAAGATTCGTCAACACCATTGGCATTATTCTAGAGTAAGTCGAAATGTTTTAGTACACTGAATTGTTCTTCTTTTCTGGATGGTATCTGTTATGGTGGATTCTATTTGTACCTACCCTCGTATTTTAATCATGATATGAAATTCAGTGTAATGTGTAAGCATTATGAAGCTATGGGTATAAGGTTTGTGTCTCAATGCGAACAACGTCACTCCGTATTGGGTTGCAGGTACATCCAGCTGACGAGTCCCGGATGAGACGAAATGCGTGTTTTGGATTCCTCTGCTAACCACAACCAAGTAAATTTTCACAATTGGTGTTGACTGTCTAATATAGATAATTGTTGTTCAAATGGCTTAGCATTAGGGTACATGTATCTTCATGATAGTGTTACTTTCATTGGTTGATCGCTGGAGAGGAATCAGTCTCATGTTGTCTAGTCCTATTGGCTGACCGAATTCTATCGATTATTTTGTATTGTGGCCACCAAGGTTGGAGATTTGCCTTGCTGATGAGTGCCAAAAAGCATGAAACCTAGGTTGATCTGGGGTTCTTGTCGATTGCCTTCAACCAACCAACAAAGTATTACTTTAGAAGACCAGGCCTCATGTTCGTGTACTGGGGTCCTTTTTAGCTCAGTTATGAAGAAAGGTTAGGGGTAAATGAGACCGTGTAGTTAAATTTTGGCAGTGAACGACTATAGCAGTTAGTAAGAATGATGGTTAACACAGATTACTGCACTTCTAGTCGATATCACCGCATCTAGTATCGAGTTATACTATGTGTTATTAAGGGAACTGTAAGATGAACCAATTCAAGGTTATTGGCTTTTGTGGTCATTTTGAAGCGGCGATGTGAGTTAATTGTAGTCACTATTCGAAGGGCATGTCATTGTGACAATTTTTACAACAGGGCTCTGTAGAACACTTTGATTTGTGTTGTTATCAGCCAAGGGCTAACGTGATTGGGTAAAAAGTATTGATTATCAAACTGTACTGATTTTTCAAGATTCTATCCTTTTTTAGCGAATCATAGTATGACAGTAGTTGTTAGCATTGCTATCAGTCTCCTGTTGTCCGTTAATGAGTAGAAAAGCTTCTACGTAAAATGATTATGTGTGGTGATGGGGTTGCACAGGCAAACGAAATCGATCTGGGGGGATTTGTGTAGATTTATTGATCGATTTCAAGTTGATATTCACCATGGACTGACATCAAATTAAAGGAACATTGGAAACCTGGGTAGCGCTGATCATCTGTTTCGTCCCAGTACGGAACTCCTCAGTAGTAAGCACCTATGACCCCACCCTGCCAGGGATCAAACCCAGGACCTTGAGGTTCCGTGGCCAGCGCCTTACCTTTAAGCCTCTGAGTTGCAGTCCGATGATCCATGTTTCCGACATAGCATGACCAACTTGAAATCAAACTAAGTCGAGACGAGAGAAGCAACTGTCTATCAGAAGTTATTGTATACTATTGTTTACTATTAAGTTGTAATTAGGTAAGGGTGATTTTGTTTGACATTCATCGTTGTTCAGCACAAGTAAATTATCTATCTTTCACTGCCTTCCCCCCCTCCCCACCTTTTTGTCTTGTACACTACAGTTACTGGTGATACGTCCAGGTGATAAAACTGAATTATGGTTCCGTCGTTTTATGGTTGAAGATCGATCCAGTAGTAATTCTATATCATACACAGAATATCTATGTCATATACACAAAGAAGTTTCTGGTCTACTACGATGAAGAAGAAGAGGAAAAAGGAAGACAATACTGTGAAACTATCTAAAGTATGATCAAATGATTAATTTGAGCAGTTCCCCCACTCCTGTTATTGGCACATACTGCTACTAGTTTAAAGTGAAGGATGCTTGTTCCAGGTTGCCTTAGTTTCTGTTCTTTATTTTGTGTGCGTGTGTGTAAACACTCTTCCATAGAGATGTCCATCCAAACTACATTCTCTAACTTTGCTAATACACTATTAATGCTTCCTAAATTAATGAACATGTGTCATTCAACTTGTCATATGTTCCTGGTCCCTCTTTGCCTCTCCTTCCCCCTCCACACACACACACACACACACACACACACACACACACACGTATTGTATGTGTATGCGTATGACTTGACTTCATCACTCAGTCGCCTGAATAGCGAAGGGAAAAAGCTCATACTTTATTTATCATTCTCAAGTAAGTGTGTGTTTGTTGGTGATTGTTTTCTGTTCTCATGTTTTATGAGGGTTTTTTTTGCTTTGTCCTCTTCTTCTTCTCCACTGTTTTCATTCAAATTTTATTTCACTTTTATATACCAGTGTTTATTCACTAGTTGATGGGATTTTTTCATTGTTATTAATTACGATTATTTTACGTGTTGAAATTCTTTGAATTACCTTTGATCATATACCGAAATACTTTCACACTTCTTCTTCATGGGTCCACATGGGGAACACACACACACACACAGACAAACGTTATTGTTGTGTCCAACAGTCGTCTTGTTGCTTGTATATGTGTGCGCACACACTTGTGGCTGCCTCCTTTCTCCTCCTCCTCCTCCTCCTCTTCTTCTAACAATTTATACTTGAGCAGGAACAGTGAGTGAGTGACTTATGGTCGGTCGGTGATGTCTCTTCTTCCCCCCCCCCCCTTGTTTAAAGAATTGCTTTGATCAGATAAATATTCTGCTTATCTGAAGTTTATTGATTAATTTTTCTCTGTTTTTACTGTTAACAACTATGAAGTGGAGTTGTTTTTGTTGTCTCATGTGGTTAACAATAACCATTTCATTTTTTTGAGTGTACTTAGGTATGTTGAAGTGACTGAGTGGATCTGTGGATGAAAGTTGGTAAAATATGCGAATATTCCTAAACTCTGGATACGGACAATGACTTTCCCCAGCACCTTTTGTGTTTTCACTGAGTTGCTAAAATATCGAAAGATAAGGAGGGGGGAAATGGTCTGTGAGAACCTTGTTTATTAAACGAAGTTGCATCATATGCTAGGGGGGGGGAAGAAGACTAATTGGTCAACTGTGATATCATTCTATCCAGTTGATCTCCGCTGTTGAATTCTGACCACTGTAGTGTACACATTTTTACCCAAAGTGTATGACCAGTTATGTAAAACGGCTTTTGGATGACACCTTTTCTAAGAAAGTTCACTACAGATACTATTCACAGGAGATATGCAGGCTTAAAGAAGTTTTAGACAACACTATCACTAGTATTCCGAGCTATCCCATGTTCTGTATGGAAATATGTTGACCTGATGAAACACAATCTACATGAGATTTGATAGACTTTCCTCTCCATATCTTAAGAGGCTCCGGAGAGGAAAGGTTGTGTGTATAGGACGACAGATCAAACTGGTGTTAACAGACAAACTGCCTAATTAAGTCAGAAATAAAACTATTGTGTAAGAACTCTTTCAATATATGGAAATTATTGGAAGGACTTACTGGTAGAAAACAGATGTGAAAAGAAGCTTGTTTCTGATGTCTGCACGTTATACGCTGACACTAGCTGAAAGGAATCAGTGGTTGAGGACTTTTGGTGGAAATTGATAACAGTAGTACAGATGTGTTCACTGTTTGACACCTTCTGAAGATTGATTGTTTTACTTAACCCTAATTTTTAAATTCCTCCTCTCTTTCCATACACCGTCTAGTATGATATAACCCTTTTTCTTTGAAAGCTAATGTAAAGTGTAGTAAATTGAACCGATTCACTTGTGTGCTAGCTTCTCGTTATTTTTATTTGTTTATCTTTGTCTTGGTGTCAAAAAGACTGATTCAGGTAGACAAAATCAGAACGAAGTCACTTAAAATGCTGTGAAATAATGATAATAGTCAAAGTGAAGTGGAACAAAATTGGTCGGAGAAGCGTATTATTAGTGTCAAGACTTCCGGTTTTATGTGTTTTATCAAATGACTCAATTGGGACCTGTCTTAACTGTGAGATGAACTTTGTCGACTTATCTCATACCAGGAGATGGAAGACGTAGGGGTCATCATCACCATCAATATCAACATAGGATCAGGCATTACTGCGTAACGATCCGAGTTGCTACACCTCATATCAGCACATCAAATTACAAGGCAATAAAATGGAAGATAAAGGAAGAAAATTCAGTCAAAAGAAATATAAAGTACGGAAAGAGAGGAAGGAAAACTGAGAAGATGGTGGGATTCGATAAAGCGTTAAGATGAGGATAATGTGTGTATACTGACATCCGTTCTCAACCATGTGATCATCTAGAGTCTCCAACCACTGGTTACTCTTATCCCGTGGACCCCAACCACCTAGTTTGCATCGCCCACATGGCTTAAACCAACAGTCAGACTTCATACATTGGTGCCATGTTTTAGTCTGGTGACCTCGGGCCTTTTTCCAACCTGAACCTACTTCTGTCAACATTGTGTGATGAGGCAATCAGTGAGTAGGCAAGCATAGTACGTGCCCTTCCCTAACGATCTCAGTCGATGAAGGTTGACAAGTGTGTCAACCGACTTACCTGTAGTCCGTAAAACTCTACACCTGAGCCTGACTTGTGCATTACTCACTTGGTGACACTATGGAATACGGCGTATACTACGAATGTGATGGTGGTGAAACACTTGAAGGCAGCCTTCTCATTTCTTCCACCTTGAATGGCCATATTTCACAGTGATAGAGTAGAAGAGAGTGGACTGTTGTGTAGTACACGCGACGGTTAATAGACAATCGTATAATATCACGGTTGTGATGCCACAGGTGGCGTAAATTGGTGGAAGCCAACCGAGGTTTTTGTATTTGTGTAGAGATTTGATTGAGCACTGAGCCAGCCACCAGCGTAGGTGTGATCGTAGTTCGCATGTAAGTGAAGTGTTCGACACATTGAAGCATTACAGTCTGTGTTGTTAGTTGTGTGAGCATTGAAGACCAATCGTGGAGCAACAATTTGCATTTGGGTGATGAAAACGTATCCCAAATATTCTCAAATTGCTACTCAAAGTGTTCAGAAGACTCAGCATCTTCACCTAACAGGACAATGTCATCTGCATTATTCTAGGTCTGACGAAAATTCTCCACCGGTTAGGTCAACCTCTGTGTAGTGAGGTGACTAGACGGTGACCTCCATAAGAATATCTATGATGTAATTGAATATGAATGGAGAGGGTGGGCATCCTTGACGGGCACCACTCGATGAGCATAACTCCCTGGACATCTCACCGTAAGCTGTAACACGCCCACAAGTGTTCAAGTTGAGAGCCTTCAATAAAGTGATGTACTTGCTCGACACGCCTTTCAGTGAACGTTGGGGTCAAGATGGGTAGATAAAAAAGTCTCCATCAATCGATTTCACTTGTCCGACCAACCTCAACTTTGAGGTCTACATCTCCATATATGGCTGAAAAGAAACTGTCAAAGAGTTTATATTAGATTTGTTCATTTGATGCAGTACACAGTAAATAATCTGAAATGACAATATACCACAGTGCTTAAGTTTTACACTTCATGAGCTGGTGTCATATTTTATTCGAACCAACTTTAGCCATTCCCCAGCATGAATCTACTTCATCTAACGTTGTGTTACGAACCAGATACTGACTTGATATGGGGATAGACAGAGATAAGACTAGTCTGCAGACGGGCCTATCAAAATGGGTGGTTATGAAATGCATACGGTTCGCCTGACATCTCATTCCTCTGCATTACCCTCTGGCCATATACCCTGTAACCTTGTCTCGCCTGTTCATCTGCTCAGTGACTCATGTGATACCAACCGACCCTCGAAGAAGACACTCTCATCACCTTGCTGGCATTTCGTCAAATTTGGTTCACATAAACAACATCGATGGTAGGACTGTGATGCTGGGGCCCATAAGGACGGTATTTGCCGCCAATACACACGCAATGATGTGTAGAAAGATCATCCTTCAGATGCCACCACATCCTGCTCGCCGAAAGAATATCGAGAAGACTACTGATCCCCTCGGTAAGCAAAGAGAGTCTCTCTCTGCGTCGGTCACATAGATGATGGATAAAGATAGTGCGGCCCAGTCTGACGTCAAATAACATTCTTTGGAAAACTGAGGTGATGTGGGGATAGACAGAGAAAGACTAGTTTGGGTAGGAACCAATCTGAATATGTTTGATGTTATGTCTACAGATAAATAGACCGACGATGGATCAGCAGCCAATCAATAGTGTTATGTTAACCAGCGGACTTATATATATATATATATATATATATATATATATATATATATATATATATATATATATATATATATATGAGAGGTAGTACTCATCATGGACTGACATCAATTGGGGAACCATTGAAAACCTTGAAGCACTGGACAGCTGTTTTGGCCTAGTATGGGACTCCTCGGCAGTACGCACCTACGACCCGGCTAGAGTTCGAACTCAGGACTTTCAGGTCCACTGTTTCAAGATTTTCAATGGTTCCCCAACTGATGTCAGTTCATGCTGAATACTCTCTCTCTCTCTTCGGTCTTTCGACTGTAATACACGCTCCTACACGCCCATGGTGTCTTCTCCATCAGTTAATGAAATCGGAAATGCGCTAGTTCGTTGGCAGGCCGGAGTTCGTTGTTGCTTATTCTTTCTGGCTATCTGATCTTCAGTGTCAGTAACAAGTGAGCATAGGCAGCAGCTGTTGATGATGTATGTCTGTAGTTTGTTGGAAATGCTTTTCGTAAGGCGCCAAGTATCTGAACCATCCCATAGAAGCACTGACTTGATTGACATTAGTGTTGCGAATCCGGATCTTATTCACGTTTTATGCTCAGTGCAGTGGAGTAGATTTCGATACTGATTTCAGATTAACGAAGAAAGGCCTATCTTGCTGTCCTTTTAATTCTGACTTTGACATCCTCATCTGTGCCGCCGCCGCCTGTGGTTGAAACGATGTTGCCTAGGTAGGTGGAAGAGACAACTTCCTCTACTGTTGATGGTGATTGGTGCTTGTTGTTGTTGTTGTTGCTGATTGAACTAGCACCACCATAATTACACTCAATTATGTATTCACACTTGTTTGGAATAAAGCGATTATTATTGTTAAACAAACGTTAGCAAAGACCAGTCTAGCAGCAACACTTTGCATTTCGATGGTAAGTAACGCATCTCAAACATTCTCAAAGTACGACTTCTGTTTTGTACATGAAAGGAATATATAGATGAATCATAAAAAACTGGATAATAGGATCTTATTATTTGTTTATATATGACTAAGGATATTTTTCGTCATTCATGTTTTGGTTACCAAAACTAATCAGTGTTCGGCAACGCATTTCCTGTAGGTCTCACTTATAGTATCAACTTTACAGGTTCAGATAAACTGATAGATGAGCATAGAAGTGGATGTAAGCGGCAAAACTATCTTTCATACATTGTCAAATCAATATTTCTTTTCCCTTCTAATACATAGATATTCTAACTACTTTTCAATCTTTGTTTAGACAAGAAAAGATGTAAGTGAAAACTCACATTCTCTTTCTCTTGTTAGTTGGGAGTTTTGAAGTGATCCATGATTGGTTGGCTTAAACCACACCGCTGTTATTATGAACTAATCTTATTGATGATGAGATTTTGGCTAGATAAGTTTTAAACTTTATTCTTCCTTACTTAAGAGATCATATCGTGAAATTCCGGCAAATATGTTTACTAAATCATAGTCATATCAACTAGTGAAGACGTGTTGTTGAATATTGTGATTCTCTACATTTACCCAGTACAGTACTGTACACTTAATCCCTGCTTTGTTCGTGTGATGACCTCGACAATCGTTGGAGATACTTTCAGTACATTGGCGATTGAGTATCAGTGGCTTTTGCCGTGTACATTGGCTCGTTGATGTAAACAGCTGACTTCCAGAGAGGTGAGTTCCATGTTCGAA